CTTGCTGCTCTCGACCGAGTCGAGTGTCAGTCTGTCCATATGCGAATCCAGAAATTAAATGAACCCCCCGGATCACTTGATCGGGATCGACGAAACCAAAGCCGTCAGGATCATCTCGACTAAAAAACCCAATGCGATGGAGTCATTTGGCAGACCACCCAGCTTTGAAGGCAACAAGATCTCGTCTGAACCAACGCACAAACAACACATGCATGCGAGTAGGTGCTGCTTGAGAACTACCGGGACCATAGTACCACACATTGACATGGAAAACCTTGATAATACGAGCATACCAACAGGGGTGTCGGTCCTCGTCATCCTCATATGACAACATCATGATGTCAGCGTGATTTTGTGGATTCATCGAATCTTGCTCTCGGCAAAGGTCATAGGTCGTATAGTTGATGTGCAGGATACTGTGTTTGTAGAGCTGATTGTTAGTGAGAATCACCTGGCTCCTGTCTTCATCAGAGAATTCATCCTTGTCTCCAGAGTACTCAAGACCGTGTAATCTTGCCAATAGATGGTTTTTTAATCTCAGAATGAAGTCCTATGACACCATATGAATAGATCGAAAAATACTTGAATGAACTACTTACTACTTTGACTGCAGGGTCTTCTGCCAGGCGGGCTTCGAGGTGGGTCATTGTAGTGACCATGGTCTTCTTATTCTTGGCTGTCCTAGGGTACCAGCGCTTAGCTCGCTGGTGTTCGAGTTCTCCCTGAAAATAGGATGCCAGATATTCGAGAGTTCAATTTGAGATAATCTTACCAGCTGTGTAGAACAACTGTCTGTAGTACCAAAACATCAAATTGTATTAGGATAATGTCCGAGAGCATGGAACTTGTATGTCAACAAATCGAGGGCCTTGAACTTGGGACCAGACTTTTGCTTCCCTTTACCTGAAGATGAAAGCTGCTTTGCTGTTAATGCGGCCTCTTGATGTCCACGCACGGCATACTCATGAGGGAGTTCTGTTGTGTGGTAGTAGCTACATGTAGTCTTGAAGAATTTTCAAACCAATTGGCCCAAGACCATGGTTGCAGTCATCAGGAAATTGGGAGTTAGTGGTATGACTAGGCGGAGTTTAGAATCCTTTGTCAATTAGCAGAGTGTCGGTCAAAATTTATAATATAAGTCGTGTAAGGCCACATGCGTGGCAAAGCCCGCTACCTAGCCAAATATATCGTAAATATCCTTTCCACGCAGACAACTGCCGTCAGACAAATGCTGCATCAACATCTGTAATAGAGCTTCCTGTGAATCTGCCGATTGAAATTGTATGCCATGAAGTGTAGCATATGCATGTAAAGAAGAATGAGATAAAGTTTTGAAACCAAGAAACAATTCTTTGAACAGCACATCATCTTCGGAAGACTTCACACATCGAAGGAATAGCAATCAAATCAAATCGGCACAATTCACATGAATAAGCGAATTCTGTTCTCCCGCAGCACGAACAATATCTTTAAGAGATGCGACGGATAATACAGATGGTAATGAAAGCGATACCTCTCGAACTATATAACCAAGCAATGAATGAACATCCGAAAATGCTCAACAAATGAGTCTACAAGCCTTGGGACCGGTTCGCCCTGCTCCCGCGTGGATACAGACTCCAGAAAGGAGATGTCGCAAAACCTGAATGTTCATCTGTTCTAGTGAAAAATCGTTTTCGAGTCCATGATTTCGCAGAAGAGGTAATAATTGAGTAGCATCCGTTGTGGAAGCTGAGAACAGCATGTCTCATACGAGATATTCTCCTTTAATGGAATCAGCAGATTTAAAACCGGGAGTATAAACCTTCACTGGCATGGATGACCTGTAATTTAAACCGTTATCGTCCGAACATACTCCATCTATGTCAGTAAATTGTGAACTGGAGAAGAAAAGAATGAACCGAAACAACACGGATGTTCAGGCAGTTGAACATCGCGATGATTATCACATATATTCCAACAATATTCTAACCAATCGCGACCAAAAACAACATCACTGCATGTGGCGCTAAAAACAGATGAACTTGCAGTGTTTCAAGAGACTACTTGATACGGGTTTGAATCGTAGTATCATAATTCAACACTGACCTCTATACTTGCGGTCTGTAAAGTCAAACAATGTTCATGATTCAAATGTACAACCACATGCGTGTTTCTTCATTGCAGAACACACCGGCCGGGAACAGGCCATTTGGCATGCCGCACGGGAACAGCGCACCCCAAAAGGGCCAGAATGAGTACTTTGCGATGCGGCGCACGACCTGAATGAAGAACAGGATGACATCAGCCATTCAAAATTTAAAGGCAAGGAGGGTAGCGATGTGTGGGAAGAACAAAATAGGAAAGGGATTGAGCCGGCAGAGTTGGGAACTGGCGCGTGAGCGGCGCTACGATAATAGTTCATATTCAAAATATCAATTTCAATTTCCGTTCTATTTGTATATTTGTCGCAAAATGATCTCCTATTGTCATTTCCTGTTCTCTTTCACAACACATTGCGCTCTTTCTCACCGTCTTAAATATTATATTCAGTTTATCTGGGATGTGTGAGTTTTCTTCTCATCTATTCTTCATTGTTTTGGTTTAACATGAATTTTAGATGTTGTTCCTGACAATGTTTTGAGGCATGTTTTGTCACAGATGGATATCTTCCAGATCGTTTCCCGTTTCCAACTCAATCATCGGTTTTGTATTCTCGGACGTGAAAGCATCATCATGTGTTTTAACGACACTTTGCGCTATGTCGTTGGTCGAGATTTCAATGGTTTACGTGTATTGTTAGATTCTACCTCCTCAGTCCTTTTGGCAGCACCTCCTATCGACGATTTTGTGTTTGCTCACAGCCCTGTCGTTATCGAGAACGGCCGTGAACTGTGTATCGCCACTCCTAACGATAAAATGCACATCATCATGTCGTTCTTGGATATGATTGGCTTCATTCCGCATGCCCATTTTCGTACTCCAGCCACTCCTGAAGTCTTAGTGACTAATTTCAGCACCAAATTCTGGAGGCGCGGTAACAATACGGTATCCATTGTAGAAAGTTCTACAGATTCGGTTCTTCCGGTGGTGCTTGCCCATCAGACCACAGCGGATTGTTTGTTTGTCACAAGCGGTGGCATGTTTTTGGGATTTCCGTCCACATTCGAAGATCTGATTTGTTTCGCACCTCATACGGAATACAATCCCATCGAACTTGATCAGTTTCTCATTTGTGGGTTCAAACTGCAGTATAGTAATGAATCATGGGTGGTACCATGTGGTCATGTGTGTCCCATGTTGTGGCATCAGAGGGACGATGCACGAATGGTTGTCTGGGGAGGTGGTGTTCTGCCTACCAAGATATTCCGTCCTTCTTCATTCATGTGGCGGTTAGCTGGTTCTTGTCAGAATCTGCTTTTTTTCAAGTCGTTTTTTGATGCATGGTGGCGAGGATCTGACAGTTTCACCTTGCTGTCCTCCGCTTGCATCAGTCATTGTGAAGTGGTTGGTTCATTATCATGTGAGTATACTTTGTTCTTCATAATCTCGCTCATACGCCTGTTTCGTTCGATTAGCATGCAGAGCGGCCAATTATGGCGTTGTTATACATGCCTGACACAACTAGTTCAGTGTTAGTGCTGCTTTATTCGGATAGGATGCGAGGGCCTTCGCACTTTCTTGAAAATCTCAATGTTCAAATGTACGTCCACGAAGCCGGTCATCAAACTCGTCATGTTATTGATGCCACTCAAACGAGACAATCGGTCCGTGTGAGAGGCTGTGAATACGTTATCATTCGCAATCATGAAGACTTGCTCACCTGTGCGCACCATCTTTATCATGCTGGTGCTATACATAGGCGAGGTGAACATCCATATGAGCCTCTATCACCATTGAGTGGCAGTTTATTGGTGATCAAGCGTTCTTTACGTCAAGATCATTGTCTGATTGATATGTCATGCGAAGACAAGCATGATGTTGTGGATATGTTAATCTGGTCCGTCTCATCTTTGTATTCCATCCTCGTCTATTTTGCTCATGTGTTTCAGTGTGGATGAGGAACTAGGTCTCTTTGATGGATTGATTGAAGTTGATGATGAAATGTAAACATATAATAAGGATGGAATGATTTGCGATATCATCTTGTAAGTTTTCATCGTCTCATCGTCGTTAGTTTTACTTTGACGTTTGGGGATTCAGATCTGGAAGCATAATCCACCAAATGTTGTGCCAATGGTAGAGTCTCAGTAATTATGATGTCGACATTGTCATCATCTGCGATGTGGTTACATGTTTCTATATCAAATTTAGGATATTGTCGATCAATTCAAAATGACATTTCGTACCGGCTAGTTGCAAAGGATATTCATACACTTCTTCTGTTGTTAGCATTATTTTTTCGTTATTTTCCATCCAATGGTCTTGTTGATTATATTCATGTTGCGCGTGTATGTAGTAAATATTCCTCCCTCGATTTTGACGTTCAACTGAGATATTAGTGTGAGTGAAAGTACCCACATAGTTACTTTTGGCTTACCGAAAATTATGCCTCCTTCACCTCCACACATCGCCATCATTTCGCGTATTGTTGTGTTCATGTTGTCTCCTGTGTTAACAAACAAGCTAGTCTTGTCCAAATGAGCAGAGTGTCTTTTGGATCAATCAGCATCACACGTCTTTTTATATTTAATGTTTGGCAATTTCAATGATGTTCAGATCATTTTAATCTCCTGACGTTCTCAGTTTTGAGATTTTGAATATATGAACGATCCATCATGTGAAATCACGATTTGTGAATTTCATGTTTGTGGTTGATCTTTCATTCCTTCTTATATTTTTAGTATGATTGATGATATGTAAGCAATAGTATGTACTAAAAATTCGATGACCGTGGCAAAAACTGAGGGTTTGGTGGAGACGCAGGACATCATGTCATGATTGATTTCAAAATCGAGGGAGTAACCACTACGATAGTTAAACAAAACTTGTGTGATAAGAGTGACATTGAATTATGAAAATCAACGACTTAAAGGAATGTAAAACACATAAGGAGGGAATTTGTAATGCAGATCCTGACAATAAAAACCTCCTAACAACCATCCATACATCTCCTTTGATCCACATCGCGCTATATCAGAAGAACATGTAGGAGTCGAAAAAGAAACATTAAGACAACCACTATCGAATGAAGTGCGAGCATGAAGGGGACAATCAAATGTCTGAGTGCACGTGTGATTTTCCGCGCACGTCCATGCAAGCCCAGAAGATGCGAATTGGAAGCCGCGATTGACATATTTTGTCAGAGCACGCATAGTACGTGGAGGAAGCATGTGGTGATGAGTACATGCCATGGGATTGATGATGCCTTTGAATTGCAATGTGAGTGCAGGATAGGCGGAGAAAATGGTTGTGGGAGTGAAATAGTTCATGACGATTGAACTGTGAAATTGAAATATGGGGAGAATAGGTCGACCATCGCAAGATAGAACAATGTCGATTTTTTGACTGCCTTTGACTGCAGCAACTACACTCCAAATTTTTTTGCATCCATATTTCGTTTTAGGGTGTGGGTATGGTATGATATCATACCCGAAGCAATGGAAGAATTCTGTAGTTGAAGGCCCGGATGATAACAGAATGTATATATCCAGGTCAGAGATTGGCCATGAAATATCCGCGACGGCAAGAATAAGCCTCAATGCTGAAGAACCGGATATCACAGCATTGGAAGATTTCAAAAAATGCATGAATGCTGGAACATCGGGAATGAAATAGCGAAGGATGCGATCTCGTCGACGTTGAAGGAAAGAATCCGTCAGAATTGCATTTTGGTGGCAAGTGGCACACAACACGACAATGTTTTGAATGTCGATAAAGCAGAGTACCATATCTATTATCTCTGGTGGTAAGATGGAGAGTGGTTGGATGGGGACGCATATGTTTTGCGACGACATAATATGAATCTATACATAATCAAAGTTAAATATTTCATAGACAATGTGGGGAGATAATCACCATAGTACTTGATATCAACAGTAATAGCGTTGCTGATAGCCGACTAGTAGAACACACGACGATGGAAAATATATAAGCAATGACGTGTAGGAAATTGGAATGATGAACTTCAACCAAAGTACAACTGCACTTCATTTATATATAAATCATACCCATCTGCCAAGAGTGCAAACTGCAATTAGTTACCCAAAAGCATGTGATACTCTCGATCCTCACTAAAACTCCTCAACTATTAAAGTTCAATTAAATAGGAGACAAGCGGACCATTTAGAAACAGCTCACTCCTATGTTGAAAGGAGTCAAAATGCAAAGCACAGTTTCAATCCCTGTTGTAATCATCATGTCAGGAAATTATCGCTATCTCAATTTGAATGATTGTATGTTACTTTTTATCATGAGAGGATGGCAATTAAACAGGTTGTGATAGTGCTTAATACTGGCGATGTCGGTGAACAAATCTGTCTATATCTGGATTTCCAGAACTTGCATAACTTATCCATGATATGTGTCGATTCTCGGGCGTTTGTTGCCGGAGTACATCGCAGACAATATCTCAAAATCTTGAGATGATACAGCTCAGAACATGTTTTAGAACTATGCAACTGCATCCGTGAAGTCAATGGAGTGGTCACTGGATCGTCAGCACTATGTTTTTTGCTATGTCTCAATCCATGGACGCCTCGTGATCTAAATATTGTCACTCCTCGAGGAGACACGTCGCGATTACAAAAATTCCTTTCGCAAAATGGATACATCAACACGAGCTTCAATGCTGAGCAATCCACAACCATTTCACCAGCCATGTCTTCTGTAGTTTTCTCTCATCAAGAATTTATCCACGGTGTTGACAATACGCTTAAAATCTGTCTGACACAGAGTGTCGACAATTCCATTTTTACTGTCATTTTGACAAACATCAGCACACCAGAAATGGTCTTTGTTACGCCTCATGGTCTATTTTGCGCACATCCGCGTCTGGTATTCAAACACATTGCATTGCATGCATTTCCTCGCAAACTAGGAATTAGATATGTATGGAAGGAGAAAGAATATAGAAAGATGAAATTGGCCCCCCCGCAGAAATACAGCAAAATGGGAAGAGGAATGCGGACGTGACTGTCCAGTCAATTGGCACAACATTGATAATCCAAAAGATGCACTTGTTATTGATTGGAAACGAACATCATCACAGATCGGCATGACAAAGGATAGTCCGCATCGACATATCGAGGAGCAGCATCTTTATTGGCGGCTTGGATATCAATGTCAAAACATCCACTGTCTTTCCAACAAATATGAAATTGTTCCAGTTATATGTGGCGCATCTGATTGGGAGGAAATAGGGTGTACCAAAGAAATTTTGGCAGGCCATCCGGTAGGTGCATTCATGCTGATAAAAAAATGCAGATACTCATAAATCCATTTAATAATAGCTTGTTACAGGTGGTCGACGAGGTGTGTTATATGGCAGGAATTGTCAACAACCCTATTTAGTACTGGTGCCTCTAATGATTGGAATCGACGAAATGAAATTGATGGACAATCTATATACATGTCAATGGGTCAACGAACACGGAAAGGACCTTCCTGCTATCATACGTCCCAAACGCAATCACATGACAATCGCGAGGCATCCACATAATAGTCGTGCTTTACCATGGACGCTAGAAATCTGTACTGAATCGCAGAAGATTAGCCTGCATAACAATCTGCTGGCGTTGCTTTCTCCAAGCCAGTGGATTCACCCAGTCTTAAATAATGCACCTACAGGAAATATTTTGGTCTTGAAACAGGACAATATACATGCCGACCAAGTTGAAGACGTGAACGGTGCTGATATTGGGCTGATTATGGATGTATTGATAAGGTGAGCAAGCAGTCCAACAACGATTGTAACAAACTGACTGGCAAATATCATGACAGCGCTGTTGCAAATGGTTTGTTAATATAACATTTCTCTTTTTTTGGTCAGGGAAATCGGTTTTCGCAGGGGGAGAACGTCATCGACGTCACTATCTTAACTTCGGTTCCAAATGGGAGTTCGATGATGGATAGTTGGCCTTAGAATAGTCAGCCCGTGGTAGGCGAAGAAGCAGACCTAAATGGCTGTATATTAATTAATAGTCTAACGTGTCCTGTAAACAAATGATTAGTCGTCGTTCCAAGGAATCTGAGAGCGGAAAGATAAACCATTATGAAGGATGCGAATTACACCATTTATGAATGCAAGTTTGTACGTCTAAAATTTTGATGCCACTCAGGTGCAGTGTAGGTAGATGTTAACAATTACGAATACATACACCAAATATGAATAAATCATGCTAATCCAATTGAACAAATAAAGATTAAAAGAGTTGAATATTACACACCGTGGCGAAAAAAAAAACTACAATTCATCAATGCAGCATCCGCATATATGTCATAGTTGATCCATAAGTTTATTTCAGATATCAGACAATAACAGATTATTTGGCGATATTTGTACATTGTTGGTGTCAGTCATGTGACTATTGGAACCAAAATTTATGAACTTATTGTTTCTGTTCTCTAGTTAGTACCATGGGGCATCCGTTCATTCCAGATGGCCGATACGAGCATTTCACGTGGCTCCTCTTAGCAGGACAGTTTCAGATGCTTAGGCTCTGATCCACGACCATCAGCTGTTAACTTGCGCTTCTAAGGTCCCTGAACATTCGACGCCCTGGGAAAACTCGAAATTCAATTCATGTCTGTTATTGTTGAGGCATAGATGTAGTATGTTCAGACGATAACAGTTTAAATTATGGCCAGTGAAGGTTTATACTCCCGGTTTTAAATCTGCTGATTCCGTTAAAGGAGAATATCTTGTACAAGACATGCTGTTCTCAGCTTCCACAACAGATGCTACTCAATTATTACCTCTTCTGCGGAATCATGGACTCGAAAACGATTTTTCACCAGAACAGATGAACATTCAGGTTTTGCGACATCTCCTTTCTGGAGTCTGTATTCACGCGGGAGCAAGGCGAACCGGCCCCAAGGCTTGTAGACTCATTTGTCGAGCATTTTCGGATGTTCATTCATTGCTTGGTTATATAGTTCGAGAGGTATCGCTTTCATTACCATCTGTATTATCTGTCGTGTCTCTCAAAGATATTGTTCGTGCTGCGGAAGAACAGAATTCGCTTATTCAGCTTCGCTTGAGATGTGCGAACAACGTCAGTGATTATGTTCGCATTTAAACGTGACCAGCTCATCGCAGTCATCAAGGTCTCAATTCTTTCTATCTGGTCTATACAAGCCCTGATGTATATCGGGATATGGGAATCACAAGTTGTAGCGATGATAGATGAGGCGCTCGTTGCTGCAGGTATCACCAAAAGATGGGCGTTAGTTCTTTTTTGTGGTAAGATTTTTTTTTCGAATTTGACACTATTATATGTGCTTCTGAGCGTTGACTTGTTGATCTCCTGTATTTTAGATCACACTGTTCTTCTGCATGGAAGCGGTAACGACCGCGCACTGGGCAAAGCGGACTTCATTCTCATAGATGGGCCGGTGGCACTTTGTTTGAATACTACAGTGACGTTGCAAGCACTACAGTAGTATCGCTGTTGCAGATATAAAAAACTGACCCTCATTAATATACAATTTTAATGCTATGTAAAATCATCCATCTATTTCATTTTCTTTCTCCAATTTTCGTTTACCCGTCACCTTAAATTCCCCAATTTTATTAGCTCCCACAGCATGTTTTGAGCCGGAGCTTTCCATTGAATGTTCGCCAGGCAATGTTATGACCATGCGAGGTTGGATGGGCGAATCAGATTCGTCAAGCACGCGAATTGTATGTGCATGAATATGATAAATCTAAGACATTAATATCAGAACGAATGTAAAAATTGTAAATGATCCGCATACTCGTCTGTTATCTTCCATAGTGAAAGTGTGCAGAGTGCCATTGACAAGGACGAGTGCTCCTCGTCTCAGTTTGGTGTACCACTTCTCGGGATGAATGAGACTGTTATCAGTATCTCGAATATCCAACTGTCGAAGTTTTGATTCGTTATGCTGGTACAATGGACCTTTATAATCCGAAAGTAAGTCTGGGTTATAAAGATCGTCAGTGGTACGTTCTTGAGGTGTTTCATTTTTCACGCCAGTTAATTCTTCAGGCACGTCGTTCATTTCTGTGTCCTTGTCTTCGCCTCATGCTTCCTCTTTCACTTCCTCCATCGTTAGATTCTGTTTCATCATACGGGCCCTTTTGGTTGATTTCGTAGTAGAGGAATTCTTCGGAACCTGATACTTTGATAAATAAGTGACATTTGAATTAAAAATTTATGACTCACCGCGTACATCGCCTCGGTGTGAATATTGATGAGATCATTATCAATCCAGTCTCTGATATCAAATGTCTTTGATAAACAGAGAACGTCAACATATGTAAGTTATGTTTTTGTTCACAGTTTACCTTTCCTTTGGTGGAAGCCTCTTCTTCTTGAATGACTGTTACTTCCAACAGAGTTGCCAATTGGTTGTCAAATAACACTGAAAGTTCTTTCGGCGATCCTTCCGGTTTGCATAATGAGAACATGCTTTTGACAGGTGTTTTATTGGTAATAGGCCGTGGCTAAATCCAAGTGGTAAGTTGATATGTTCTTGTCAATTTGATACAAACAGACTTCCACTGTTCATAGTTCCCGCATAATGTGTTCCACAAGCCCTGATTTTTTCATCTCCAGTGATTTGACCCATTATAATGCCTTCATATTCAACACCGGAAGATGGTTTGACATAAGCAAAATTCCCTGTGTGAACATTGGTCTGACGTATGAAGTCTTCATTGTACGTTGCTTGCGCCAAACAATCTCTGGAAGGAAGTTTGAGTAGCTGTTCACTGAGGGCATCATAAACACCGTGTTGGTTTCGAAGATCAAAAATGGTAGGGGTAGTTTCATTGAATGAGTGAGACATTTCATTGTTTTTACAACTCATCATTAAATCAAGCCGTTCATACTTTTATAAGAATCTATGACAGGAGTGTAGACTTTGATTGATCGATCCTAATAGCTCCGCATCGTTTCGCAATCCAGTCGCAAATGAAATTTCGATCTAATTTTAAATTTGTATTTCATTTAATAATTTATTTTATACTTGATAATAGGAGAGATCACCAATAGTCGCCTCTTCATACGTTGAACTCCTGAAATGCCGATCAGAAATATTAGATTGCGAGTTTTACCAACAGTTCACCAGGGGTTGCCGATGAGACAGGAGTAGCAGGGAGGAGAGGCAGGCAGATAGAGAGGCAGGCAGGTACTAGAGGTCCCAGAGCCCTCGGGGTCTCAGCGCACATAGACATTAGAGACAGGACACGTTGTACACATCCAGCATCACATAGTCATAGAGCTTCAGGTCTTCTCCGTCTCTCGAGCGCAAGGGTAGAGCCAGGTCCAACAGGCTATTTTGTCTAAGACAAATTCGGTCGAAGCTTCTCCCCAGTATATCCTGCTTCTGTCGTGAAACTTGAACTGTAAAGTATATTTTACAAACACTTCACGGCATCTCTACCCATCTCTTTATTAAATTTGCGTGGGGCAATTCATGTTTCATATATGCACTGAAATTGAAGGCTATAAGTTTCATATATGACACAATATACTATGCAATACACACTTGATAGTCACGTCAGTGATAAGCTGCAAGTCACCGGGATTGACATCGAGTATGTCCTTGCAATCACTACTGTTTCTTTTAAGAACGAGCAGATTACCATTAGGTATATGAATATTCTGAAAGCCAGTGAACGAGGCACCAAGGGAATGTAACAAATGATTTGGTCTGCTTTGAGGGTCGTGTTCTTCGCAGAACACAAGTGTCTATGGCAATAAAATTTGTGTCTTCGGATGTTTAAAAATGATAGTTCTTGTAGCATCAGGATGAATTATTGAAGCTCTTTCACTGAATTCGTTTAGCCATTAAAATGTGTGCAGATCATCTGTTGTTTCTAACTCATCAATTCTGACCATCAATGGTACTGGAACCAACAAGGCTCGATCACAATCTCGTGCAAAAAGTGCTGCTTGTCGTCCACCGCTCATTATCTATGATCATATATTGTGAATTACAGAAACATTATATGTTATAAAGACATACTGGATGAATTGCAAGAGCCTTTTTAGTTTCTAAGACTTCCTCCAATTGTGATGGTCTGTGTAGGATATCCGGAAAGTGATATATGTGCATCAAACACTTTGGATTTTGACAATCAAGAGCAAGACGCCAACAATGTTTGCAGTTTTGTATGTGATGATATGGACTTTTGGATCCAGTTCATCTTTCCCGTCCTTGATAATGCCAATCAACCAATAGTACATTTTTGCGATCGACAATGCTATGCCACAGGACAGGGCAATCATTATCACAGGCAGATTGCTTGCCTACTGTATTTTGAATTGGCCTCAGACCCATTGAAATGCAATGTTTAGCTTTGAACATTGATTTGGCTGTGTCAATCATCAGTAGTGATCGGAAGGAAAGACCTCGCATTGTGAATCTAGGATGAGCACAAAAAAGACCATATTGGGTGACAAACATCATCTCTGATGTGCCAATGCTAGCCAGAATCACGGTGATAATGGTTTCATTGACGCTTTTGGTTATCGTAATCCGTTGTTGCTTTCGACAACTGTGTGTGAATTGATGATGAGAGGATACGAAGGCTGATGACCAAATTTCTTTTTCATCTTCTTTCTCGGTTTCTGAAATGAATCCATTGGATAGTAAAAAAGAACCAATACCAACTGCGTTTCCCCGAGCAGTCACGATATTCAGATCTCTAGGTTTCCAAAGACCTTGCCACCAGATAAGAGACAGTGCTGCAGAGCCAACAATGACAGCATTATTGTCTTCAATAGCTTCTGCAAGGTCACCGCCGGCGGTCATCATATACGGCTTCAGTAAATTGAAAAATCTCTTCTCATGCAAATTTGCGATGATTTGGCGAATGCTCTTGCACGTCAGGGAGAGTTTATGGACTGTTACGAAGTCCAGAAAACATGCAAAATATGAAGTGATGTCGATGATAGATAAAACTATGACAATACATTTTAAACACATGTAGAAATGACAAATGTGACTTACGAGCTTCCAATGAGACATGCTCAACATTGTTGATTGACAAACGAGAGTCGATATTGAATATTTCGACTAAACCAATTGCGTTTGTCATGTTAGTGATCCATCAAACTCATACGATGGAACAATATTATACAACATATATAGGGGCCTAAACATACAGAATCTGACGTCATATAAGGTCAGAATTCTAATGCGCAATTGACGTGTACTATAAAGCTTGGAAATAAACTAAAATTCATCGTCCATCGAACTATTCCAATAGTGAGAGTTGTTTTTGATAGTATATGCTGTTAACTCACAAACATCTTGTTTCTGCAGTGCCATCGTGAAATTTTGAGGGATTGATGTTCGCTTTCGAATACTCTGACACTCTCTTTTCAAAAAGATTTGTCTTGCCTTCGATTGATATCATGTCCATGAAATCAAATGGATTGATGACTTTATAGATTGTGTCATTCCCGAAAGCTGTCAGCAATCGGTCGGCAACAAATTCAATGTATTGGGACATTAGATGCGAATTCATGCCGATGAGTTCCACTGGCAAGGCTTCTGTTTTACAATCAACATCAATGAAAAATTCACCAGATCAGTAGCTCACCTGATATGAAATTTTGTTCAATACTGACTGCTTGTGTTATGATGGAGGCGACAACACTTGGGTGTCGATGCTGAATAAGATGGCTGAAAAGTAAGCATGCAAACTCAGTGTGCATTCCTTCATCACGACTAATTAGCTCGTTTGCGAACATCAGACCTGGCAAGAGTCCTCTTTTTTTGAGCCAGAAAATGGCTGCGAACGAACCGGAAAAAAAGATACCCTCTACAGCTGCAAAAGCTACCAAGTGTTCCGCAAAAGTGGCAGATCGATTTGCAATCCACTTGAGGGCCCAATCAGCCTTGTGTTTGACACAAGGAATGGTCTCAATTACTTTGAACATAAATTGGCGTGACGAAAGATCTTTGATGTAGAAATCAATCAGCAATGAGTATGTTTCCGCATGGACGTTCTCCATCATGATTTGAAAGCCATAGAAACAGCGTGCTTCCGGAGCCTGAACTTCTTCACAAAATCGTTCCACCAAATTCTCGTTAACGATTCCATCCGAAGCGGCGAAAAAGGTGAGGACATATGAAATAAAATGATGCTCATTGTCTGATAGACATTTGTCCCAATCACGACGGTCTTTAGCCATATCAATTTCTTCGGCAGTCCAAAAACAAGCCTGGGCCTGTTTATACATTTTCCATAGCTATCTCAAAGGTATTACCGGGTCGTTCATCAATTTCAGTGGAGCCACTAACCTCAGGGTGTTGGATAGGAAACAAGACAAAACAATTTTGAGTCTTCTTCAGCAAAGGTTCTTTGCCTGTGAATAAACATGACTAAGCGTGTTCAACCCACTCAATCAAAGCTCACAGTCCTGCATTTCTGTGCATTCGACAAAAGACAATTCTTTTGGATCCGAGACTCACAATTTGACACTTTGTATACTTCTGAATAATTCCATGCCGATTGCATCTACAAAAAGGAGTTAAACTTCAATTTAAAATCATGGATCATCGTGATCACAAACATTGGAAACTGTATCATGCAGCCTCATCAACTGCCAGGTATCCGGTAATTGTCGATTGCCAATCATTTGTAAATGTACGGTGATAAAGTATTCCACTCCCTTTTCATTATTTTTTTTTTGATTAGGAGACGAAATTATAGAAATCCTGTCATGTCTCTCCTAATGCACATTCCATTTTTCATAATGCATTTGACAAATTGTAATATGCTGGATAAAAAACTAGCAAGAAGCCTGCTATTTGCTTCCGAAGCATATTCTTCACATTCACGCTATTGTCTGAATCAAGTGTAACATTTTTTATGGGTCAGCTGTCAACGTCATGTTATCACCATCTCGACTAATTAATGTAACAGCTTTCCTCAATGACAATACAACATTCAAAATAGTTTCTCGATTCGACATTTTTCAAATTGTCGAATGTTTGCAAGTCAGCCAAGTGGTAGCAGATGCTGGTCGGCGGACCATGCGCTGCCGCTTTGATGATATTCTCCGTTGTGCAGTTGGTTCAGACTATAAAATGCAGTTCCGCACACTGCTTGAATCCACCCATTCCATTCTACTTTCGTCTCCTGCATTGGATCCATTATTATTCGGCACACAAGAACCTACCACTGTCGACTTACGTATTGCTGCGCCAAATGAAGGCGTACCATCCCTCATCAAAGGCATTCACGCAATTGGGTTCAAATCATTGCTTTAACCTTTTGCATTATCTTCCAACCCATTCTATTCTTCATACTCATACAGCTCATCGCTTATGGAATCCTCCCTGGCTTCATCACCCACATTATCAGCATTTACTTATGACATATTCGAATGCTGCGGCATCATTATAAACGTCATCCACGGCAAATCGTCTTCAGTGATGCCTGTCGTATTGTCACAGCGCTCTACTGCTGATTGCTTCTTTGTCACATCGGGTGGCATCTTTATTGGTTTTCCTGCATACTTGAAACAACATGTGGCTTATACGCCCACCATCCAATCTCAATCCCCTGCTTTTAAAAATAAAGTCAAGCGTGGCTATAACGTGCAATTACGAAATGATAAATGGGCTCAATCTTGCAAAAACGAATGCCCTACGATCTGGCGTCGCATCCCAGACAGTCAATTTGTCCAATGGGGTGAGGGGATGTCTCCTTTTTCGGTTGTCAATGGCAGAAGTTTTCTATGGAGATTATCCTGCAAGTGCTACAATTCACACTGTTCTCAATACTCCAATGCAAACGAAAACCCTCTCGGTGTGCCCACATCAACAGAAGATGTTATGCTTGTCGTTGAAGAAGCTGTTAAAAAAAATGTGTGTCAAATATGTTTGTTGAATGTTCCTCTCTGACTTTTGATATTTACAGCCGAAAACACCAAGCATTTGAGGACTGTTGTTTGCACAGGCAACAGATCATCCCATCATTGTCCCTATCTTTTTAGACAAAGGAAGAACACACATGAAATCCATCGACGATCTCAATTTGAGACATTACGTTCGAGAAAATGGGATTGAAATGGATTATATGATTGACGGTTCTTCCACTCGCCATTCGCGATCACCATGAGGTTTTTAATAACCTTCCAAGCATGCTTCTCATCGGACCTATTATCAATTCAGACGGTCATCGGTATATGCCAATGACCCCTCCTCATAGTAACATCCTCGTGATCAAACATGCTGTTTCTTCAACATTTCAACCTAAACACATGCAACGTCGAGACCTCAAACGTGTTTCTGATCTGTTAATAGTGTACGTTCCTCTCCATTTTTATTTCGAATCCAGTAGAGTTGATTTTGACTTTAGAGTGGATCAGTCTGGCACATTGTTCAATGGCATTCTAAGAACATGTCAAAATTTCTGACAGAAGGATCTCAAATGGTGAAGCAGATGTAAGGACCTGTAATTGTATCAAAATCTGTGTAATTGAACTTGTATCTTGTAACACAATTCGCTGCTTTTCGCGCATGTACATTTATCGTGTATCTTCATATTACTTCTGTGCGACTGTTAAGTACAAGTGCCATCCAAAAAAGTATTTGCTATCTATTGTAACAAATCAAACAATCAAACAATCAATTTAATTCCTCTTTTCACAGGAACGTCTAGCTCAGGCATTGAGTATGAATGCAGGGAATGAGCTACTCGGAGTCTGGTCGGGTGAAAGATCACGCCTACTACTGTGAAAAAGTTGTAAGCACGGATTATGTGGAGACACTAACATTTGCAAAGGGTGAAGTTGAATCATATGAATCTGAAAATGATGCAAAGATGGCGAAACACATCTATCAAATATATGATTATGCCTTCGGAAGCATGGCGGCTCTCCCACTGACAATCTAGAGAATGATTTGTCGGATCAGTCCAAAAGTAGCACACCACAGATGAATAAAGCAGCACGAACGGCACAAGGAGTCCACTTGAGCAGGAAGATTTGTGAAGAGGAGTGTTTATAATATAGAAGGAGAATGCTGCTGAAACCGGAATGAAGTTGAGATCTGTTTTAATTGTGTGTTTGGCGTTAGCGCACATACATGACCTGAATGTGCTATAACTATATGAATGAACAAACTTTCAAACCAGGTCAACAAAGAAACATATTGGGAAGGCAACACAAGGGAAGACGAACTCACTCAGAAACGAGAATATGTCTCCGATCTTGACATTCAACGATCTTGTGTGTCCTGTCAAAACCATCAACAATTACAACCAGGACACAATATGAATCACCAACTATTAACCAAGAACATGTCTGCAAGAGCTAAAAGCAGTGAAATACAAACTAAAGTTGACTTCCTGCGTATGAAGGAACCCAACCAGCTTGTAGGTTAATGCATTGAATGTTCTCTTGATGTGTACTACGAGCTTCAGGTATAAATCAACCAAAAAAAAAAAAACTAATCAAACAGGATGTGCTTAGTACGAAATAATATACTGTCAAATTGAACAACATACTGAGAATAAAAGAACACAGAATTAAAAGACCATGACTTTGGTTCGGTAGACATTGTAGAGAAATGTTCTAACTCGTTGACTGAGATGTAGAGTTTTGCAATCAGCGGCGTTTGCGAGGTCGATTAGGAATTCCAGCATCTGTTGGAACAAATTAAACACATTCAAGTTGGTCGTCGTTGACAGAATTAAGAACACCTTTTTTGTGCGACGTATTACACATATCTGCTTGCTTTTGCAGCAAGTCCAGTTGTCGATTTGATTCCATATGGTCACTTGTTTCAAGTGTTTTTGAATTTACAGCCACTATGGCATCCACGTGGGATGCAAGTTGACATCATGCATAATCTTGTTCTGCAAGCAGACCATATCGCAATATTGTTTGCCATCAGAGAACATTCAATCGGCATTCTTCTTTTTGAGCATCTTGAGACAACTGACTTCTGATTCTTTTGATAGAGAACGGACGAAGGATGAGAAGGGATGACAAGGAAGTGACACGAGATAGCATGACATATGGCGACTCAGTACCTTTACAACTTTCGATATCCACGATAGCATGTTCAAGAGTCTTTCCTTGTGCTTTATGAGTCCTCATTGCAAATGCAGGTAAGATGGGTAACTGAGAACGAGTGATCTTACACCTTTTCTGTGAATAGGGATGTATGAAATCCATTTCAACCGTATCCTGCAAAGCTATGACATAATGTGGCGGAAGATGAGGCAATACATTGTCAGTAGTCAAACTAGAATGCACAACACATGATATCGCATGTCAATTACCTCGTGAGTCGACAGTATATCGAACACTTTTGAGAATTCCCTGACAACCATTCATGACTCCACCATCAACATCAAAATTGTGTGAAATGATAACTGGCATACCAATCACCAACGGAATTTTTCCTAACTGCTGACAGGTACTTCCTGTATGCAAATCTTCCAAATGAGCTTTCAAATATCTGTCCATAATCTCCCTGCCGCCTTGATAATCAGTGGAATGGTACCAATGTAGAGCACGGTTTGTCCGTCGAGCGAATGATAAAACAGCATGTGTATTGAAAGTGTCTTTGACATCATTATTGCTGACGATGATTGGAGCTTCCGTCCACTGTAATTTCCAATCTGGACGCACATTAGAAATCAACCGAGTCTGCAACAGATTATAATCATCTTCAGTGCACTTTCCTACTCGTAATCTTGACAAAAGGCTGACAAAGGTCTCATTCTCTGCTCCTTGTTGACGCATGACTTCTGTGAGAATCACCACAGTTGTAATTGATAACCATAACAACTTCCCAAGCACTGTATTCTGACCTTGTTTGGTAGCCACTTGATACGTGTTTATATGTCCATACAGACGAGGTTGTCCAACAGGAGGCAACTGACTAAAATCTCCCGCGAATATGATGTTGATCCCTCCAAAAGGTAGCGTGTTTCCTTTGGCTTCTATAAGCACTTCACTAATTTGCAACATGAAATTACATCCGAGCATTGAAACTTCATCGACAAATAGAAAATCCACTCCTTCCCACATAGCAACTAAATCTCTATTCGTTTTGCATTGTGCATTCTTTTGCGAGTGTTGTGCAAGTCTAAGAGCTGAATGCAACGTCATTCCATAAATATTTCTGGCTGCCACACCTGTGTATGAAGTAAGCTGAAATCTTCGCTCCTCATTGCGACGTCTAAAAAACTCTTTGAGAACATTGATAACTTGTGACTTCCCAGTGCCCTCACAACCACCGATATACATTTGTAGCTGCTCACACGATCGATTGCTGCTATGTTCAATATTTAGTGTGAATTCATCAATCATATCATCAATAATCAAGGTAATGTCTTCCACGGTATTGGCCTCAATTTGGCTGATCCGAACATTCCTACTACAAGTGCCATTGGAATTTTCAGCTTGCTGAGCATTCCTGAATGCTTTTCCATCGCAAATTGGGTTGTTCACAAAGTCCGTGTTAGTTGATTGATTATTCATGTCGTTCGAGGTGTTGATATGATCATTAGGGAGTGCTATCTTGTTTTTCCATGCATCTCGATGTTTATCATATTTTTTGTGCCATTCGTCTTCCAAGGATCTATCATCCGACATCACACATTCTGCAGCATCAACAAATTCACCACAATTTTCATTACAAACTGCAGTCGAAAGGTCTGTCTGCCACATTCCAGAAGACTCGGCATGATACAAACAATTCATTAAAGTGTCATTAGAACATGCACGATGTCCTGAATGACATGAATCGATGGATTGCAAATGCTCGAGTACGTCTATATCCTGAATATAACACTCTTCTTCACTGTATTTGCCAGAACTGTCCGAACGAACAACATTGGATCTTGTCCGCAAGGAACGAAGTCTTTCGGCAAAATGATCATCTTGACTGTCACGACACTCATGCAAAATTTGCATGTTATTCATCACATTTTTAAAATGAATATCACATGCACTCAAAAATGTTCCGAATGACAATTCCCAAGATTGGTCTTCTCTTCGCAAATCTTTCACACTTCGCCATGGCTTAAATAAAATCAACATCAATCTACAATAGCGAGGATAATCCTCGGGTCTGTCTTGGTGAGGTATTCCACCACCAATAGGCATGGGAATGAATCGATTCTGCATCAATCAGATGCAAGTGATATGGGAATGTACTTGAGGATGAGCTTTGTGAAGTGAAATGCACGGTCGTTGGCATGTTTGATTGTGAAGTAAGTGTCTTAATTGTTCCATGTTCAAAATTGACTCATTTTCACCAAATCGATGTTCGTTGTCACTATCATCTTCATTTTTATAACAATGTTTCTTAGACAATGGCACCTTCTCTGTCTGAGCTACGAAGTCCCATAAAGAAAGAAATTGAAGCTGCGGACCCCGCAATCTATAGTCCAAAAGCTGCGATGGTTTGGCACTCAATTCTCCTATGTGATTAACAGACACAACTACTTCTTCATCAATGTCATCCTCGATATTGTCATCGTCATATGGAATCTGGTCCACTTCAGTGTCCTCATTCACATCTCCATCGGCTTCGTCAACATCAACTTGAGGCATGGCAAATTCTTGCATATTCTTTCCATAAGACTTTGCGTGGCATTCAGGACTCGGACTTTCCACATCGATATATCTGTCAAATGATGTCCAATACAAGTTGTTGAATGAATGGTTAGTGAAATGGTCTTCGAGATCTAACAAATACGAGCACACTTGCGGACCAGACAATTCCTGATGAGATATCATAGAATATGCACATTTCTGAAGCAAACACTTAGCTCAAAATGTCAAATCTCCATCCTCTGGATGATATTCTCCTAATTTCTAAACTGCTAGATCCAGAGCTGCATATGCGACGTGCGCCTTCAACTGAGATTTCGTGATATAATCAGTGATATAGTACAAAATGGCCTTCGCACTTGCGCCTGATCCAACAAACTTAATATCCATATTACACCGAATAAGCTCCAACATCGTCTCATTGAAATTATTGACCATACCATCTAAACACCGAAGAGTAATTTCACCACTATCCATGTCAAAGAACTAGACAAACAATATTTGTTGTTATCCAGACCGAATCTACATTCTTTCGGTTGGGGAGGTCCTTTCCAGTATTTGTAACAAGTAGCAGAATGCCTATGCACCTGACATGCTCGACTAAGATGATACAAATCCTTTTGTCTTGCCGTATGATATCTGTCGCCCCAATCGGATTGTGAAACTCCTTTTACAGAGCATGGATGATGAGATGTAGAGGGGACCACACAAGAAGGATCTGGATCATCAGGCAATGAATTAGATATGCTATTATCCAAGAATGCGAGCAAACGATCTTGAAAATCAGTATTGTTATCTTTCACAACTTGATCGCGAATCTCATTCGGATCCAACGCACCTTCCAACAACACTAACATATGACAATGTAAAGTGCCTCAACCTTGCGCTTCAACACACCCATAATAACCTTTGACTAAACCCAATATCCCACCTTCAACATCACGACCTGAGGAATCAAAACATAACACGCATGAAATAAACGCCTTCATATAGATGTTGAAAAATTTTGCTCCAAGAGCTGGATTCTTTGCGACTAGAATGGATTGCTGAAAAAAATTTGGCACTTCGGAAGGAAAAACATTGTCAATGTCAATGTCAACACTGGGAAGAAATTTCACCACAGGACTGTAAACATCTGCAGGATTAATGGTGATATAGAAACTAGGAAGACCATGAGCCATCATCATACCTCGAATCTCGTTCCGCATATGCAGTCGAGCAGCTGCTGATCCTCGCAGATGGGACGAGACAACTTTCACTTGATCCATGAGACTCAAAACCTTGCGCTCCTCATCAGAGTAGACTGTTTGATTGTCTCCCCTAGCTATGCACTCTGACACCAGATGAACTGCTTCAGGAGATACCGATGCGAAATCACGAGCAACAGAAGAAAAGTTCATACGACGAACTTTCAGACTTGAATGCAAAAGAATATCTCGCTGCTGAAGTACATTAAAAATGGTAAACGAAAATGAGTAATGCTCTTGAAAATGTTTGTCCATAAGAGAAAATAAGTGCTTGACATGCCTTTTCAGAGATATCCTAGTAGTGCGAATCGAATCCTCAAAACCACCTATACCATAGGGAAACAAAGTTGGATAAATCATTGGAAACAACTGCAGATTGAAGAACTCATTGACAGGCTGAGGACCATGTGGCACTTTGATATATCCTTCACCATGCTGTTTCACATGTCGTAATGCAGCCACTCGTAATTTATTAGCAGGTGCGTGTGCATCTACATCTGTGACCACCACATTGGCAAACAGTACGGTGTTGTCCGTAGCATTGGAAGGATTAACCATCCGTTCGGATTCCAAAGACGGGGCATCATACTTGGATGTAAGAACATCATCAGATTGCTCAGACAATACATGTTGAATATGCACAGGCAATGTCTGTTCTTCTTCCAAACTGTTGAGACAATTATGATCAACGATAACTTTCGCATACAAAGGGTTATGTTCCACAAGCCATTGTAAAGCGCGACGCACCCACTCACGCCTGATGATGAGAGGTCTCACCTTCGTACGTAACCACTCTGCGGAAGGAGGCTTCGATCCCACAAAAAGCACACATACTAGCATGGATACCTCATCGAGTGCAGGAGGAAGAACATGTACTAATTCAGAAGGATTCTGAGGATAGATAATGATATGACCTTTGAATCCCCGTTGGGAGTGCGGCAACTGAAGATTCTGATTCTCTTCTTTCAAATGGACCACCCAGCATTTAGCCTGACAACGAGCGATCATAGCCTCTTCGATGACCGTCAGATCCTGCAATACATCTGGTACAGGACCAAGATAATGATGATTAGCCAAGGTGGTAAATGGAAGCTTGCCTTTCCGCAATGACAGAAGACACGAAGTACATATAGCCAAGATAGTGCCCCGTTCGTCATCGCAAAGCAGCCCGTGATTGTCAATAAGAACATCTTCTAGAGCTTCATCAACAAGTGTGATAGTCGAAGGAAAAGAAGCAGATTGTAGCCACCATGGATCCAACTTGCCACCCTTTCCATTTTACCGTCGATCAGGACGCTGAAGAATGTCGCAGTCTAGTTCAGACGGTGTAACCAACTTGCATCCGTGTATAGTGCAGGCCTCTGCACAACATGCACAGGTAAAAGTGGCAAGAGAATCCACTGAAATCTGCTCTCGAAAAAGACAATGCACTTTGTCTTCAATTTGGTCGTCCACCAGGCGAGGCCACCCGTGTTGAACATTCTCCCTGGTCTGCTCTGCAAGAATAAATTGCACATCACGTTCAGCTCTTTTGAACTCAGAATGTTTGCCATGCTTTAACATACAAAGGAAAGATCGTAATTTCTTTCTCAACCCACGTAAACTATCGTCGGAGGAATGCTGAATATTATGAATGCGAAAAAGACGATGAAGGGGTCTGGCAGACACCCGAGAACCTACAATATCCAGCAATTGAATCTGAAGACCAATTGTGTCCACAGAAAGATCACAACGACAGGCAGAACATATACGAGAACATCCTTTGTAAATATCCTTTCCACGCAGACAACTGCCGTCAGACAAATGCTGCATCAACATCTGTAATAGAGCTTCCCGTGAATTTGATGATTGAAATTGTATGCCATGAAGTGAAGCATATGCATGTAAAGAAGAATGAGATAAAGTTTTGAAACCGAGAAACAATTCTTTGAACAGCACATCATCTTCAGAAGACTTTACACATCGAAGGAATAGCAATCAAATCAAATCGGCACGATTTGCATGAATAAGCGAATTCTGTTCTCCTGCAGCACGAACAATATCTTTAAGAGATGCGACGGATAATACAGATGGTAATGAAAGTGATACCTCTCGAACTATATAACCAAGCAATGAATGAACATCCGAAAATGCTCGACAAATGAGTCTACAAGCCTTGGGACCAGTTCGCCCTGCTCCTGCGTGGATACAGACTCCAGAAAGGAGATGTCACAAAACCTGAATGTTCATCTGTTCTGGTGAAAAATCGTTTTCGAGTCCATGATTCCGCAGAAGAGGTAATAATTGAGTAGCATCCGTTGACGAAGCTGAGAACAGCATGTCTCGTATGAGAGATTCTCCTTTAACGGTATCAACAGATTTAAAACCGGGAGTATAAACCTTCATGGATGACCCGTAATGTAAACCGTTATCGTCCAAACATACTACAACTATGTCAGTAAATTGTGAACCAGACAAGCAAAGAACGAACCAAAACAACACGGATGTTCAGGCAGTTGAACATCGCGATGATTGTCACTTATATTCTGACAATATTCTAACCAATCGCGACCAAAAACAACATCACTGCATGCATCATCGATGACGAGAAACAAGAAATCTGTCGAAAGATTGATAACACCATCGGTAATGAAGATGAGAGTGCGAATGCGAACATCTGGCACGATGTTGCTACGTCGAAGGCACTGAGTGAGTAGTTGCGAAGTTACAGAAGAAAATGAAACAGAATGATCGCATGAGGCGATGACGTCAACACCCTCGAAAGTAAGGGACATAATGATAGGATATGGACATCAAACAGGCAAAGGCATAGAACGAAAAGACACAATGCAAGTGTGCACGAACCACTGTGGGAACTTATCGCCATTTGTATACTGATCAATTTGCAAAACACAATGCCCCGTAGAATCACAAAAAAACCTGACTGGAAAGACCCACTACCTAAAGGTAGCGGGAATATGATAATGTGTTGCTAGGGAAGTGCCTGACTGATAGAGGATGATCAAGTCTGTATCAACTAGTTGTCACACCAGTGCGGCATTGGCAGAAGGTGATCAAATCTTTGTCAACTAGTTGAGTAATAGCCAGACTAAATAATACCCTGTAAGTGGATGTCAGACAAGCAAAATTGACCGACAATGGTCAATCATTTGCCAGTGAGTTGTTTGATGATAATATGTTGTTGGGCAAGGTGGGTGCAAATTGCAAACTGGGGCATCCACAACAATTAATTAACATTACTTATCTACAGTACAGATCCTAATAGCAATAGAACACAACAAAGACAGCGATGCATACATGAGATACGGTGAAGGGGGGGGGGGGCGTTTTTGCGAGGTTGCACCGTGTATAAGATCTTTGGCTTTGGCTTTCTGACAGGCTAAGTCTCCAAAATATTGCATAAAAAATGAGAACACACCCCATTTGCATCTGTTTCCACCTCTAAAATTGACTTAGCATGAGAAGATTAAAACCAGAATACAACCGACCGATCTGCTTGCAGTGCAGGATTTCAAATACTGGGATGGTACCACTAAATATACAAACTGAGATCAGTAAACTGTGGACCTCTCTTCAGACTATCTTAACTCATGCATACACTGGATAATCCACCAGAACAGCATCTCCAGTGTTCACTAAAGCATTGAGCGCCTGCAGAAACATGAGAATGATCATTCATTTTTAAGATTGAACATGTGCAGGTGAGAAAGAGTGCAGCAGGCAAGAATGAACATGGACAATGAAGAACAAACCTGTACAAGTGAAAACAAACACATATCAGTGAGAATGACAAGAACGGAACACGCACGAGTGAAAGCGGGAACGTATGGGTAAGAACAAATGGTACCGGCAGGAACAAATGTGTACAGGCCCAGATAAGATCTAGATGAGTGCAAACATGTCGAAAGAATGAGTGCGAGCAAGAATGAGTTGATACAAGTGCAAATGAGTGCAAATGGGTCAATACCAGTGCAAATGAGTTAAAAAGACAACAAATGAGTTGAAATTAACGCAAACAAGCATGAATGAGCAATTGAAATGAGTGAGTGTGGAGTAGAAAGCAGATATGAGTTTGTACAAATGATGCTGATATTGAGAGTGACTGAAACATGCTATAACACAAGGAAGAGGTAAAAGGCAGTGAGCGCACGATAATGGAGGGTGTATAGAGGGTTTGAACAACTGGGTGCATGAGAAACTGGGAGATTCATAACTGACCAATAAAAGTTGAGATGCGACTCACCAATCAACCATACACCAGTGTGACTTGAAATCTCCTCGCAATGTCGATAGACTCGCCAGTCTTAGAATTAACCCAGCCAACATACAGTAAACTGTCCCCGGGATGCCCATCAAAGTGCTTGATGTAACCTATAAGCCAGGTCATCTTCCTCAGTCATGAACTCTTCTCGTGCCCCTGTTTCCCAACGAGTATGTGAACTACCCCAAGGACCGACCTCGACAAATCCAGTGATGATGACAACCTCATCCAGATCAATGATGCCATGAAGTTTCTCAAGATCATGCAAGGATGAAGTAAGTTCCTGGCAGTGAATTCAAAAGTGAAGTTTGCTTACAAGACCACATGGACGGGCTCACCCTCTGCTCCAATGGTAATTAAAATCAAGAGCATTGTCATGTGCAATGACATGACAAAGTTCGCTCTTGTTCGAATTCACACAAATGTGGCTTGTGATATCAGCGAGATCAAGGAGACAATCCATACCACTATGGTAATGCTGAAGAACAAGGGGTGAATCAAACCCAGGATATTGAAGGCTATCTCCTTCGCCTTAAGGTACAGACACTGTGACTCTTGATTTTGTCTGCGACAATGTTGGCAGCATCCATGAGACATGAACCAGTGAGCAACAGGAAACAAAATTGTGATGATACTCACCCGATGACAACACCAGCCAAGTACAGATACTTGCCCCAGCTCTGCGAGTTCCAGTGATCAAACAAAATTTCCAAAGATATCTTTGACTCCGAATAGAGTTGAGGTAGCTCAATGTCATCAACTGTGAGCTTCCATGAGTCAATGCATGCCTTGACATCAGCGGAGGAAACATTGGGAAGCGCATTCTTGACACGTCTGAGATATTTTGCGCAGATTGCAGCCTAGCATGCCCCAATCTACCACAGCTCGGTAACCAATGTACTTCTCCTCAGGATGGAAGATAAGCAGTTCTCAGAGAGGCATCTGTGTGTCGTAGTTTGGCTAAAGTAATTCTCATGACAGCAAATAAAACTTACCTTCAAGGACAAGTTATGCTTCTCCCAAATATACCGAGTAAGATTAATTGTAGCTTGCATGCGCTTCACCCGGCGCTTGATCACCTCAGCGAAGTACTCAAGTTCCTTGATGCTGGGGAACATGAGGAAGTGAATTAATTGCGCATTGAGAACAGAAGGATCCTCCAAGATATATTTGGTCTCGTACAGTGTCTCCATTATGAAAGGCATGTATGAAGACTGGGAGAGCATTGCCATGGTCAGTTATAGTATTTTCTTTTAGAACACGGTTGAACTGAATACACCACTTTGTCTGCTTGTCAATAAGATCGAGGAGTAGCGGCAAGATGGTGTAGAGCCTGTAAGCCTTCATCTCATCCTTCACGAGTTTGATGAGAAATTGACACTGAGCAAGAATCCATCGATCCATGAAATGGTTTGAGACAGGAGTGTGTGGGTTGTACATGAAGTGCACACCAGTTGTTTTGTCAAGAAGCATCACTCAACCAATGAAGAATCAGATGAAATTCGACCAGGAGAAGAACATGGCAGATAACATTTTGAATGCCTTCCTAGCGGAAGTGCAAGTAGCCAGGTTGATATGACCTAAGTATTGGTAGGCATTGGATATTGGATGGTATGATAACCCATGCGAGAGCATGTACATTGTTGGAGAGCTGTGGAAGCCAGTTAGAGAAATTGAAGGAGGCTATCAACGAGCATACTAACAAAATAAATATACCAACAAGACTACAAACCTCAACTTTTATAAGTCAGCACAAAGCCAACCAAAAAAAAATGTTGTTTATCCCTACAACATTGGCCACTATGGTCATTATGATATTTTACTTGACTTCCGCTCTCCATCCAACCATCAATCACCACCTAACAAACATCAGACACCCATAGACATAATGGAAAATTTTAACCTATTACCTGTCTCTATTCATGATAGCTGTGTTTACCTGTGAATCTAGTTAGAATGAAAAGGAGATTGAAGCATTGTGTCATACACAGTCTGATAAGGCACTTCAAAACAGACCATTCCATGGGTCCTCAGGGTTTCAGGGTTATAATGTCGTAGTCTTATGGCCATCCAGGAAGTAATAGTCTATTCGAAGAAGAGATGCATCATCGACATTCTGGGGATGATGATGTGAGGAAGGAGAGAAAGATTAGTAGTTGAGAACTAGGATATGATAAGTGATACCATGACAACAGCAGAAAATGTGTTTGTCAAGGCTGTATCCAAGGCACAAGGGAATAGCACAAAATTAACAGTATAAGTCCTAAATACATGACTCACCCGAAAGAAAGTGCACAACAGGCGCGATGAAAGCAAGCCATAGTGTTGCGATGTAAAAATTGAATATTGTGGTAGAATGGCAGAAATAGACGGTAAAATTCTGATAAGCCATAAGTAAGCTATGTGACTGTTTTAATCTGAAACACACCTCTTCAGCAGAGATGGCGGTGGTCTGCGATCTCAATCTATCATCATGCAGTGCTGTGGCAGGAGCCTGAGCATAAATCAACAACTCACTGATAAGGTTATTACTAATGGAAGCAAATTCTTCCAACAGCCGTCTGAAACTTCATGATCACCTATTAACATCACTGTGCAGAAAAACAATCTATTGTTGTACTACAAGGAATATCTACATGCAACTGGAAGTATGATAATACATCACTTCAACTTGATCTTCGATACATGAAAACCTTTATCTCCTGGACAGGCCTCGTAGTGCATTGTGTTGCCTCAATGCCTGTTCACTGCGCACATGAGATTGAGCGTGAGAAAAATTGAACTGAGTTGACTTACAGTGTTGTTTCCCAGCCGTCAGGGCCGCTACATGTGGTAAGCCAATGTTCCAGTGCCATGGATTGGTCATCAGTGCCCGAGCGAGCCATAGTAAGAAAGTGCAGCTGACAACAGTGTTCCTCATCCAGGGCATGGGTAAATGAGAGGTTGTTGTCACTAAGATATGTCCTAAAGAATGCGATAGTCTGTTGAAAACTATGAGTTCTGAGTTCTGAGACATAGACATGACGTACCAGACTACATATTCTATCAATGAGGTGTTTTGGAAGGGACATGTAGGACTTGGGAAAGAGAGTAAGAAGTGACTCTGGACGCCCATTGATGGGTCGCATAATCCAATGCGCAAGGTTTACCAACAGTGCCTTATTGCGGTATGGGTTCTGGAACATTGGAGGTTAACCCTGTAATCAGATGATTGTGACAAGCAAAAAAATACATTGTTGTTGTCAAATGTAAAAGCAATGGATGTGACATCACTTTCCCAACCTGTCATGTTGGTAAGATGCTGGATAAGTGCCTTAACCTCCGCAGGTGTTTTGGTCTTCAAAGAAAATCCGGCCAAACCAGCTTTCTTCAGCTCCTCGATGAAACTCTGCATGCAAGTCCTCACCGATCTCATAAATGCAGACCGTTCGGAGTATAGCTGTAAATATGCATCCGAGCTAGAAGAGCTAAAGCAACAATATAAATGTACCAGTTCAATGACATCTGGATGCATGAGCTTCAAAAGTTTGGTCTTGCTGGTTTCACGGCATTGGAGTCCTGGTATATTGTAAGTGTATCAAAGTAGATTTTATCAGTGTTTTTCCTTACCAGACTCTGCGGGCTGAGGAGAAGCACTACCAACAGTCTGCATTTCCGTGATCGCCTGCACACAGTATGACCTGAATGCAGCCTCGCCACCTTGGTTGATAGTCAAGTAATTTCTGGCCATGAGTCTGGCATCAGATATAATTGTCCATGCAGCAGGAAAGTGACTCTTCAGGTAAGTTGGCATATAAGTTATGCCTTCTATAAAGACATTCAGATTGCACCCTATGAAGACAGATGGTCTCTGAATGCCAATGACAGAACCATGCGGGAGCAACAAAGTATTCACATATATGGCTGATAGGTCATATGGTGGAAGCGTTAAAGGGATGGAGCATGCTGCAGGCAAGATGGGAGTAGGGTCCATCCAATCACTCTCACTCATTGCAAAGATATCCGAGTTACTGTAGAGAGATACAGAATCTGGGGTAAACAACATGCCCACTGGACTCAGAGCAGTATAACCAGCAACAGGGAGGACAGGAGCAGGACAGACGACCAAATCCAAAAAAATATTCCTGTGAGAAGGCTCTGGATTATGGAAGAAATCGTGCACCAGATTTGCAATAGGATCGACGACCTTCTGTTGTCAAGAAGTCAGTTTTAGCTTATGCATTGCCCTGATACACATACCTCAATGATCATCAGTGTGCTACTGTCACTGTGTGTGTACATACTCACCGCTCTCCAACCGTTGGGCACAATAAACTGATTCGACTGCAATGTGCACGGTGAATCTTGGTAAACCCCTACAAGTCCAGAAAATCTTACTGATATTCCAGGATACACATGTGTATTCTACACCAGAGCAGTTGGTATAAATTTAATAAATTAATATATAACATACCAAGTATATGGAATGATGCAGGTACCCCATGTTGGAGCCTTCTTGCACATATGCAATTTTGATATGCGTGTCTTTGATTGCAGCAAAACCAACATGCTGTAAAAGTGAGATAACCTAGAAAACGTCAAGTTTGAAACTCACTTCATCGGCGAACCAGTCCAAAATGATTGGCTGTCTATTGACGTGAGAGGGTGGGATGTATGAATAACCAACGTGCATTGTAGGAGAGTCTGGAGTACTTGATAGGGCTCTTGATGTGCCATTTTCAATGTACTTTTAAGGCCTTCTGGAACACCTTCTGGAGTTGTCCCCCATCGATCACTGACAACGAGGTAGACAACTCACCCAAAAAGAAAGTGGACAACAAGCATGATGAAAGCAAGACATAACAAGGCTAATGAGGATTGAATGAATGCGGAGTCTGTGTGCATAGCCTGGCAGCAGATGACAAATACTTTACCAACGGAAATTACTTGCTTGACTTCTGAATATTTACGCGAGCACAAATTGAACTTGTGGCTATGAATGTATTTTATTTCTGTCCAAGTCAAGTCCAAGTAATGAATTTGTGGACTCATCTACAGTATGGAATCTATGGAATGCACAGTATGATATCCTGGTGAAATGATTTCTACCTCCGAGTTCATGGTAAGAAAACACAGCTTCCCAGCAAGCATCCAACAAAGGCTTATTGTACATGAGAGGGCAATATAGCAGACCAGACTTCACAAGCTTGCCTTTGATAGTGGCAGTACTTGGGCATGCAGATACCTGAGTTCATCTTCGGAATAACCTGAAATTCAACTACTTAAACTTGACTGAATGCACTAATTAACTTTACTTTTCAACAAATTCAACCATAGTTGGCTGACCTAAACAATGTCTTCTACACCTCCGCCTCCTCTTGACTCTTCATCATCCCCTAGGTTTAATGGCCCACGTAAATTTAAACCAACTCTTGAGGGCAATCATGATGATTGCATTATCTGGTGCAGCTGTGTATCAAACCAACAACCTTGAGATGCATACCCTTCTCCAACTGTCTCCCATCAATCCGACTTGCAGGAGCCTTCATCTGCGAGTACTATTGCTAGATTTTATTCTTATTGTGCAACTGATATTAATGAATCAGGTGGATGCTCTTTGTCTTCCTCCATTCTGGGGTATGCATTGTGATAGCAACCTCACTATTGCTCTCGTCAGTGCTAAATGCTCAGAATGCTGGGCAGAGTATAAACTTATTCAGAGACACCTGAGACATATCAATGTTGAAAAGGAACTTTACAGTCTGGTGGAAATACAGACACAGCAGAGACTGCACAAAGCTGACACCGACATTGGTGTTACCCATGGTGTGTTGCATGTCTCCAGCCTGACACCATCAGGTGATGAGCGGGATAATGATGTGTTGAGTTTGGGTGGGTCAGATGGTGAGGAATCCCCTTGAGATCCATACCAAGATCAATCCCTATCATATGTGTTCTCGTTTCATGACCATGGTGTGTGCTCACCCATACAAATCGTTCATTGTTGTATTTATGCTTACATTTATATCTACATGTTGTAACAGCTACTGTTACCTTGTACAATCATCGATGCAGTAGAAGTTATGTACTCTACAGTTGATCTTTTAGCACTACATATCCATATCTAAGTGCCGCTTATCATATCACATGTTGTAAAATCCTTGTTGATGGATATTAGAAACTTCACTGATGAGCTTGATGCACTGACTGCCATATGTGCACTAGGTCAGTCATTGCAATTGTGATGTAGTCGCCGCCGCCGCATTGGTTAGTAGAGAATCCAAATAGGTTCTGCTTCACATATTACAGTGAAATATCTCTGTATTATATGGGTCACCCGACCTACATAATATCCCGTACAAGACGGGCCAGCGGATGATGGGCTGATGTGATGTATATCCTCAATGTTGACGGATGGGCTGGGAGGGATATTATTTCTGATGGAGGTGGGCGGGCCCATGTGTGGAATATGTAGAGTGGATGAGTGGGCCAATGGACATGAATATTCTATAGATGGATGGGCCGAGGTAGTTGGATATTATGTAGATGGGTGTACGAAGGTAGGTGGATATCAGATAGATGGGTATGCCGAGGGTACTTGTCAAACAATGTAGTACTGATTACCGAGTAGCTAATTTGGGTGAAGCATAATGAGTTCCTGCAGCTGCAGGTTCATTCTTGTTGCATTGCTGTACAAGAAGCAAGGTTCCAAGACCCGGGTGTCAATAAGCAAATATCTCATATCCAGCACACTTCCCATCATCTGGTATTTCATTGAGCAACAGATGGTAATATATCTTCGACAGCCAACATCATGGAAGGTTCTCTTATCAGAACCTCATCATCACCACCTACCAAACACCAAATGCCAAGTTCCGACTACCAAAATTCGAGTGAAGCATGCCGAGATCCGAGCCCCGGGAGTTGATAAACAAATATCTGATATACAGCACACTTCCAATGATCTGGTATTTTGGCTCCCTTATCTGATCCTGACTATCTCCACCCCCTTTAACACCAACCTCTGGGCATCCAGCATCCAGCTTCTGATTTCCAAAGATCGACTTCATCATGAATGGTACTTCCACTTCTGCAATTGAAATAAGCCTCTGGCGCATTTGGGCCCTGACAATCACTCATGAGGCATGTGAATATACCACACAGAAATTCAATGCAGAGAAGACAGGAGGAGACCCGGTGATACCTTCTCCTAACCTAGACACAGATCTAGTGATGGCCTGTGATCGATTGGTAGATTGCCTCATAAAGCCATACAAAAATCAGAGTGGGTCTTCCTGCAGATTCGGAAAATTCATTTGATCATTCAAATTCCTTCATCACAGTTCAGATGAACATTGACATTGCAAGATATAGCAAATTAATCTCCCCAAAGAACACAGGGCACAATGAGGAGAAAGAGGAGAAGTTGCTTAAGAGATGTCCTCCAGGCCATGAGGGGACAAGGTCGGTGGACATACCTGCCACAATTCTAGATGTATCCAGCACCATCATCACATGGTAACTCCCAGACGCCCTGACAGCCGCGACACAGGTGTGTGATATACATTGTTACTCTATAGATATTGAATATCAAATGGTATCCACAGAAGGAAATTTGGGCAGCCACCAATTTGCTGTCTCCAAGTCTGGAAAGAAGTGTAAAGGTCAATGGGAATTGGCAAACCAATCCAGAGTGGTTCAAACACAGGTCCAAAGATGTTGGCTTACCTGCCGGGTGCATCAATTTATCTCTGGCATGGTTTCAACAGTGGCACGAGGTAGGATTTAATAGGATGATGATTTCTGTAGTTGAGCTCACCAATCCCATAGAATCTATCGGACCCGGAGGTATCTGCATCATTAAAGGGACCATTGTCCGAGGGAATTCTGAATGCCATTGCGAGGCCGGCAGCCATCACATTAGCGGCACTCATGATCATGCATCCAGGGCAGTACTGGGCAGGGTTACGAACATTTACAAGGCTCGGAGAAAAGGCAGAAACCAAGGAACTGCCAAGAATGTCCGAGATCCTCCAGTACTGGGCATCCGTGTTTAACATGCTATCCATCATTTCCAATCGTCAAACCCCGTATCATCGAGACCATTTATTAATTCCCAAATGCTTTGATATTCTCACCACTGTGGGGAATTATTCTAATGCTTGGATGAGCATGCCAAGCCTTCAGCTGGAGCTCAGGTACAATCCCGGGTGTATGATTGGATTTTCTGGAAGGATTGTCAGACATGGGGTTCATGAGGTGGAAGGGGACTGGGTTGGGTGGGCATGGTATATGAGGGATTCTGTTCATATTTATGCCGAGGTTCCCTCATGCAGATGTGCTAGGGTGGATTGACGAATCTTACCACCATGTGGAAGATGAAACAAGTAGAAAGTCTAATTACCCATGTCAGTCCCTGCTTTCGAATACCAAGTACAAACTGTCTCTCTTGATGACACTCAAGCACCAACACATTCAGGACGAGGGAGTGGAGTTTCCGTTGTAGTGCGCAGTTACAAAAGGCCAGCCCTGGGTGGGAGTACCACAGCATCAAGGTAGAGGACTCGGTAATCAGTACTCGACACTCGGTACTTGGGAATCAATATCTCTATACTCAGATTGTTCTGTTGCAAAAGGAACCTACAAGTCAAAAGGGCACAGAAAAGCAAAGAAATGTAAGTATTAATGCTGCTGTACAAATTTGAAAATGGTACTGAGGCGAAGCCTATCGTTGTATTTAGACTCAGATCCTATCGACGTTCATCAAAGCCAACTCAGAAATTGATATCTGGACCTCGATAATTGGGACTCGGTGATCGAGACATGATTTCCGGACCTCGGTAGTTGGATATCAGGAGTCGGGAGTTGGTAATGGAGATCCGGAACTCGGAATTTGATATTCAAAACATAAACATGAACGTTGGTACTTGACACTTGGACCTCAGAACTCAATATTCAGAGCTGGGTAATTGGGTCTCGATATTCGGACCTCGGTAGTTGGATTTCGGGAGTTGGGAATCAGTAATTGACACCCAGAACTCGGAATTCAATATTCGGTATTCAACATTCGGTACTCGATGCTTGAAACTCGGAACTTGGAACTCAATATTTGGAGCTCAGTAATTGGGTCTCAGTAATTGGGACTCGATATCTGGAACTTGCAATTCGATATTTGGCATTCAATATTTGGTACTTGACGCTTGGAACTTGGAATTCCATATTCGGAGCTCGATTATCGGATCTCGGTAATTGGGACTCGATATCTGGACCACGGTGGTCGGGACATGGTGATCAACATCTGCACTGTTTATTTCGGGACTCACCATATAACATTCTGTTAGATATTTCATTGTTTACATGTGATTTTCAGTACTCATAACATCACATATGGAACTTGCACTTCAACATTTTTAACTAAGTGACTCGAGCTACTCTCCTCTGCCTCTCTTCAATCTGTCTAGAATGGCAGTGTAGATCTGTATCTCTGCCATCTTATCACAGATGCCCTCATGTTGTTCCTCAAGTAATGTCAGGAGGCATTGTCTAATCCACCTCAGTCCCATCAGTGATGGAACTGAGGTATGATCCACCTGCTCCGGAATTGTCAAACCATCATTCTCAATGCCATCCTAGAAAAGATTAGTCATGAATCAAGGAAATGGAATAAGAATCTTACTAACCAATGCTGGTAGTGAAAGATACAGCAAGTCATCACCTGATCACATTGCTATGGTTCGTTTGGGATTGCAGTTTCTCCCATCCACCATGGGGTATCATAGCCAGATATGATCTGGGATGGATCTCTGGGATCTGCGATGTCATGAAACAAACAGATGTGATAGGAAAAGATGTGATCCAGAACCGTGTTCCAGGTGTGACTGGGAATCAAATGAAGAATATGAGCAATAGGGCTGGGAATGACCGAAATGATGTTCCTTGCACCTGAGTACTGCAGGATGTGAGTCACAAAAGTCTGTAGTGGATGTCAGCATTAACTGCCAGAGTTGTCAGTGTCTTACAGAGATCTCCCATTGCAGCCCAGCTTTGAAGTGCCTGATCCGAGCCAAAGGGGGAAGATTGTTGTTTGCAGCCTCTGCCTGATATTGGGAGATGCATGCTCGGATACACGATGCAGACATTGACATTGTAGCTGAAATGTCTGCAGGAGTGAGAGTGAGGGGCCGGTACTCATTGAGGGAATTCTGATTGTCAGAAGTGGATGCAGGAGAAGGATATAATTCAGGCATGGCTGATGCAGGAGTATGACACTGGCTGTTACGACTGGGATAGTTCTTCTGTCAAGGTCAAAGATAGACCGGTCGAGTTGACAGTTCGTCAAGCCTCCTAGTACAAGGAGGGTTCTAGTTCAAGGGTTCACACTAGACGAGCAAGGCGGCTTCTGTCTAGGATCAGCGGCGAGTGGTTTTAGCACTTCTACCGCAATCAAGGGTTCAGGCTAAGGACAGTGAGTGACTGCCTTAGAATCAGGTATCAGGCTACAAGGGTGGAGACCTTGTAGATCAGGATTCAAGGGGAAAACCCAGTAGATTAAGTTAAGGAATACTACTGTTGTACATGGGGTTTATATAGGTAAAAGGGAGCAGCTCAGCCACGTCAAGAAAGGTAACAAAGATAGGAAAATAGTACAACCTATCAAGATAGCAAAGATAGGTGAAACAACCATGCGGCGCATGATAGTAGCTATGTTACAATCAAGAAGAGAAGGGGTGGCGGACAGCCCGCTTGATAAGAGAATAGCCGAGTCTAGATGAGTCTAGAGTCGGCACTATGGTTACAGAAAGAGAAAAATAAGTAAGGGTTAAATGTTATTGTAACACTTGCAATGACAATGACAGTTGGTTCAGATGTGAAGATATCATCCACTGATGGATGGATAAATTTTTCAAACTCCAACATGGGCTGACCCGGCCACTTCCTGAGACTAAATTTGTATATCAAAATGGGTGTTATATCTCATCGGCAATAATACATTCATTCATCTCTGGAATCTATCAACATGGTCTGCAGGTGTTGAAATGCTGCCTGGGCATTCTGCACCAGCAATGAATAAATTTGGGATTGCCTTCTGGAGTAGCATGCATGACCTGGAAGGTGTTTCATGAATGATTCCTGCATCCAGTTGCCCCATTGGGTTGCTTTCCACAAGAAAAAGTTACATGTCCAATCTGTCTCAAATTGGACCAATATCAGTTCTTCCTTCCATTGATCCCATAGTGCCTTTGCCTGGAGCCAGTGAACTCATTAAACTTCAGATTTTTCCGGTCAGCTCAATGTCGGGCATGTGTGTCAAGCATGTGGGAACTCACATTCCTCATTCCACGATTTATCTGGACCCCCCATGTCGATCTCGATAGACCAGAACCAAGCGAGGGATTCATTTTGTTGACCAGGGGCATTTGGATCACCCACGGCAGTGCTGACTTTGAGCTGCTTGTGAAGCAGGGGTTTGTATTTCTGAAGCTGGTCATGCCCCAGGTCAAGTTTCATCATTTGCTTCCTGGTCTTAGTATATATACTCGCATACAGGGAGACAGCCTGTTGCACTGATGTCACCTGCAACCAAGCTTGAGTTTTCAGGGCTTGAGATTTGGCTTGCCTGATCGTTGTTCGGAATAGGATTGCTTTGTTGCACAAGTGAATTCGGAGGTTGTGAAGTGCATCATTTGCCTGCCCTTTGTGAAGGGACATCTCCAGCAGAATGAGATCCTCTGCCATAAAGTGTCTGCATCGATCTACCCCAAGGTTTGATGGCAATGGGATCAAAATGAGCTCAGGGGAGTTCATAAATGTATCAGATGTCTCGGTAAAATCTTCCGGGTCATCATCGAGATCATCTAGTTCAAATCGTCAGGATCGTCATCTGCATCGAATCCCTCCCCGAGATGTGTGGCAGCAGAATGAGTAAATCCATCCATCTGGCCTTGGAGACGATCTCATTGCCGAGCTACGTCTAATCTCTGTGTCTCCTAGTTTGTTTTCCGATAAACTCCAGATTTGTTGATGATGACCATGGTGTTTTCCTTAGGCTGAAACTTGGGTCCCGACACAAATGGTAGATCTTCAGGCTCAAGCTGGTCTTCGGGTTCGTCTCCTTCGAACAAATCCCACCTATTTGCGAGTGCAGGACATACTTTGCCATCATGACCAAGGTGTATGACGAGTCCGACATGAGCGAGACAACTTTGCTCAAAGAATTGACCATTCCATTGACTGATCCAGTGGAAAGGATTGCAACGATGTTGACTCCTGCAACATCCCGTGCAATAGAGTGGCTCCCCAAGTCAATCTTGACATTTGTAGACCCCATCCTGGTCGCAGATGATGCATCTCCTATCTTCTGGAGGAGCTTCTCAATCCAGGAGGTGATGCAGATATGACTCCTGCCTTGGGAGCCATTGCCTCAGGTAGTCATTCTGGCTCTGCATTTGTTATACTTAGCAAGGTTTGAACGACACTCCAATGGTTTACATTAACTTGCCATTGTTTTTGGAAGCTGCAAAGGCTCGAATGAGCCTTGGTCTTGCTCATAAGTATTATCAGGACAGTCTTCCCAAGTAGGTGGTGCAGGAACAGGCTGAAGTGTTGGTGATTCCAGGGGAGAGTTAGGCATGGACCTGTAGGCATGTCGTCTTGTGCTTGCAAGCGGGACCTTGACCCAAGTTTTCCTACCTTTGCTGCCCCTTGCTTCTACCCTGTGAGATTTTTGCAGCGGGGTGCATAGACCTATCTTCATCTTATTTTTGAATGTTGCAAGAACAGCATTAGCTCAGGAAGGTCGCACAAATTGTTATTCTAATGCTATGTTTGTGCAGTATTGGTTGTTCATTACAAATTTATTTCCATTAATGGCATCATGTCCGATATGGGTTGATTAACCAACTGTTAGGCTTTGGTCAAAGTTGAACTTCGAACCAATATTAATTACGCCTTGCTTACCCTCAGCACATTCACCAATCAGAGTCACCATGGCAAGATCAGGTCATATCACTAGCTTGTCTCCTGGAAGACATAGGGCACGTCAACCCCAGACACAGAAGCTCACCGAAACTGAAATTTCCAAGCTGAAGAACTACCTTCCTGAGTGGACTTCTGCGAAAAGGAGTGAGAAGCTGGCAGTTTTCACTGCAATTTCCAGGGCTGCCAGGTTGTTTGCGCCAAAGGTGGACCAAGGACAATGGAAAGAGAGGAAGCAGGTAATACATCCTTGTTGCGATGTGAAACAAAACATTTAATGTCTTACACTTCCTTCAATGCTCAGATGTACAAGACTTGGTTGTTCAACAACAAGAAAAAGAAGGAAAGGAAGGACATGATGAAGTATGGGAGGAAATGGACACCTAGAATGGTGATCTACCAGGAGAATCGGGAAGAGGTGCTGAAGAGGATCGAGGATGCGTCTGGGGCAAATTAATATTGGTTCGAAGTTCAACTTTGACCAAAGCCTAACAGTTGGTTAATCAACCCATATCGGACATGATGCCATTAATGGAAATAAATTTGTAATGAACAACCAATACTGCACAAACATAGCATTAGAATAACAATTTGTGCGACCTTCCTGAGCTAATGCTGTTCTTGCAACATTCAAAAATAAGATGAAGATAGGTCTATGCACCCCGCTGCAAAAATCTCACAGGGTAGAAGCAAGGGGCAGCAAAGGTAGGAAAACTTGGGTCAAGGTCCCGCTTGCAAGCACAAGACGACATGCCTACAGGTCCATGCCTAACTCTCCCCTGGAATCACCAACTACTTCAGCCTGTTCCTGCACCACCTACTTGGGAAGACTGTCCTGATAATACTTATGAGCAAGACCAAGGCTCATTCGAGCCTTTGCAGCTTCCAAAAACAATGGCAAGTTAATGTAAACCATTGGAGTGTCGTTCAAACCTTGCTAAGTATAACAAATGCAGAGCCAGAATGACTACCTGAGGCAATGGCTCCCAAGGCAGGAGTCATATCTGCATCACCTCCTGGATTGAGAAGCTCCTCCAGAAGATAGGAGATGCATCGTCTGTGACCAGGATGGGGTCTACAAATGTCAAGATTGTACTTGGGGAGCCACTCTATTGCACTGGATGTTGCAGGAGTCAACATCGTTGCAATCCTTTCCACTGGATCAGTCAATGGAATGGTCAATTCTTTGAGCAAAGTTGTCTCGCTCATGTCGGACTCATCATACACCTTGGTCATGATGGCAAAGTATGTCCTGCACTCGCAAATAGGTGGGATTTGTTCGAAGGAGACGAACCCGAAGACCAGCTTGAGCCTGAAGATCTACCATTTGTGTCGGGACCCAAGTTTCAGCCTAAGGAAAACACCATGGTCATCAGTCAACAAGTCCAGGAGTTTCATTGCCTCGAGGTTCGATGCTGTGATTGTCCAAATGCGAATGAGTCCAGACATTCAAATGTTTCAACATGGATTTTTCCCTGCATCATTCAACAAACCGAAGACTGCGTTCACCTTCAGAGTGCTCAACAATTTTCTATTGGACAACCTAGAATGCTGCACCTCCACGATGAACTATTACAGCAAGCTCCAGCGTAATGACCTCCAGCATGTTTCCTCAGCCTTGTTCTGGTAATTATATATCTCCTTCATGAAAAGGACATTATATTAACAAGGCACTTGGCAAGGACCGATACAGAGAGCTCATGAGAGTCGCTCGACAGTGGAGGCAGTTGAAGACCATGAAATGGCATGGCTTTGGCCATCGTTCCAATGCCCTGAATGCCAAAGATCTCGCATTGTTTTGCCCAACATGTCCTCAGCCTAGGATCAACATATCCTTGTCAGGGAATGAAACACTTGATGAGTGAGTCTAGTTTCATACTTAAGTGACCTAAGTGATAATAAGAACTCCAAGCTGGAAATATACCCAGTCATTTGTGATGGACAGGTAATTTCAAAGCCGAACACTTGCATCCCATCAAGCCATTTGATGAAAGTATGGCTTGCAGATGGGCTGGGGTTTATGGTGGGAAAGGACAGGTATAAAGTGCATCTTGCAGAGGCTGCTGACACTTTGGAAACATCTAGCTGCAACAATCACCTGGGCGATAAATCAAGCAAATGTGGCTCGGCACAAGCTAGAGTCGACCGGTATCGGGGGAGTTGCTTGTGCCTGCCACGGCTGCTTTGTCCCTCATGTGATGGTCGATTTTCAGAAAGGACGAAAGGCAAGCCGAACATGAAGTTCTACATTCACAAGTTGATCATGCATCGTTTGCAGACAAATGAATATGGACTACGTCCTTTGCGAGGCTGCCCAGCAGAACATGGAAGGCATTACCAGGGCTGTCACCTTTTATGACATCAACTGTGAATACAACAAGCACCTTAGGTTCAGGGTGGATCTGAAGCCGATTTCTTGAAATGGTACCAGAATTGACCATCGATTCCCGGCATCGGTTTGCTGGCACTGTGCATGGACATCAAGACAGCTGATATGTTCGATATGCATATCCATCTCCCAATATCAGGTGGAGGCTGCAAACAACAATCTTCCCCCTTTGGCTCAGATCAGGCACTTCAAAGCTGGGCTGCAATGGGAGATCACTGTAAGACCCTGACAACACTCGCGGTTAATGCTGACATCTTCCACAGACTTTTGTCACGCCCATCCTCCAGTACTCAGCTGCCAGGAACATCATTCCTGTCATTCCCAGCCCTATTGCTCATATTCTTCATTTGATTCCAGGTCACACCTGGAACTACGGTTCTGGATCACATCTTTTCCTATCACATCTGTTTGTTTCATGACATCACAGATCCCAGAGATCCATCCCAGATCATATCCGGCTATGATACCCCATGGTGGATGGGAGAAACTGCAATCCCGAACAAACCATGGCAATGCTGATCGGGTGATGACTTGCTGTATCTTTCACTACCAGCATTGGCTAGTAAGATTCTTATTCCATTTCCTTGATTCATGACTGATCTGTTCTAGGATGGCATTGAGAATGATGGTCTGACAATTCTGGAGCAGGTGGATCATACCTCAGTTCCATCACTGATGGGACTGAGGTGGATTAAAGAACACCTCCTGACATTACTTGAGGAGCAACGTGAGGGCATCCGTGACAAGATGGCAGAGATACAGATCTACACTGCCATTCTAGACAGATTGAAGAGAGGCAGAGGAGAGTAGCTCTAGTCACTCAGTTGGAAATGTTGAAGTGCAAGTTGCATATGTGTTTTATGAGTACTGAAAATCACATGTAAACATTGAAATATCTAACATGATGTTATATGGCGAGTCCCGAAATAAATGGTGCATGTATTAGTGGGTATGGGTACAGGTTAGACCTCTGACACCCAGGGGTTTACCCCTGCACTTCCATACATACAACAATACAAATCTGAATGATCTCCAAAGTGATGTTTTAGTTACAGTGAACACATCTCGGCCAGTGCACAAAGGTTACACTTTTTCACATGAGTTCCGGTTTGATATATGATACACATCAATTGGATATATAATGGCATCAAGTGTCCCACAACTAACTGTCGAGGAGTCCCAACTTCAAGTGAAGGGGATGTCCCATAAAAATACAGCAGCGGCGCAAGGCTACAACCTGTTGAAATGCTAGCTAACTTTCAATACAACTGCCAGTCATTGAGTATACAAACAAAATCACTGGAGTATTTGAAACAAGATAAGAATTGATTTCCGCTTGCTTAGCAAACACATTGGGCCTACCTCACAAGGTAACAGCATTTTCACACGGATTCCCAATTGATGTATGGCAGATATCGCTCACTGGCTGAACACATTGTCGATCTTTGGGAAGATACTGCCTTTTACCCTCACTCTGACAATTATCCTATAACTGACGGACGTTGACGACATCAAACAGATCGCGCGAAATTGAACAGCAGTACATACATAAGATAAAGGGAGTTAATGGAAGCATCACTCTACAAAAGACAGCTACCGCTGACGGATAGTGAGCCTGAACAGCCGGCACGGCAGCCGCACAGATCTTGAAGGTGTTGAAGAACAAGGTGACGGTGTGCCATAAGAAGAAACTCTGCATCTATGCCAAGGTTTCTGGAGATGAAGGTGGGCTTGCTGAAGACATTAGGCGTAGTCATGTTGTATTGAATTCATACCTGTCTTTGCACCCTCCTGAAGGACAGCGGAGCTGTATCCGTAGACGTCGAATGTGGAAGCTAAAATGGAGGGCCTTTTTCGATTCAAGTTCGGCATGCTTTGCAAACAGCTGACCGTCTGACACATTATTCGCCACTGCCATAAAGGGTACAAGTGACATACAAGGATCCGTTGCAGGTTTGACGGGGCTCGGGTATCAAGTCGTTTAGAGGGATCTGTAGTTGTTATGAGTAAAGTTATGAATCAGGAGGAAAGGGCCGCATCATATCCGCATGGCTCACGTTTTGAGGTCATCCTCGTAATTGTAGTACACGTTGACCCCAGATCCACAACCGGTATTAAGACAGTTCCGAATCGATGCATGGGGATGTGGCGGTATACATGATCCTGAGGACATCCAGAACAGATCGTCAAATGTGTTTTGGTGTCGAAAATCCAAAAGTCGGTTTCCTTGCACGGCCGATCCGAATTCGATTCTGCTCGCGTTCCGAAGAAGATATTTGATTCTTTAGCATGATGGATTACAGACATATTTTATACAAAGAGGTATTAGGTGGTGGAATGAAGCTGACATCCGACACGAGGGAGTGGCATGCGTAGGTGTGGTCGGCGGTGTTGTGCGCGTCCATGAGTTGCAGAAAGGGCGGTTCGATGTCAACTGATTGCCGCCGCGATCACGTGGATGTTTTGGTTCAATCGCGTCCGATCATCATCACCCTGTCTTATCCCATTTTTGACGTTCGGAGCGCTCGTAACACCGGAGAAGTCGAGTGAAAACCAGATCGAGTTCAAGTTGCAATACGACCCTTCTTTACCACTTCATGACTCTACTCCGAACAAGGACCAGCAGATCTCATCAAACGGCATAATGGTTCGAAGTCTCGTAAATCGCTCCTGTATGTCACTTGTACCCTTCACAGTGGCGAATGCTAACGCGTCAAAAGAATCATTTCGTACGTCGACGGACGGACTCTGAAACAATGGTCAGCTGTTTGTGAAGCATGCTGAACTTGACCTGAAAAAGGCTCTCCGTTTCTAGTTTCCACATTCGATCTCTACGGATACAGGGTCGCTGTCCTTCCAGAGGGTGGTATATAACCCGTCGCGTGGACTCAGCAATTATTAGGCCACGTCTGAACGTCGAACGCCAAATTTCTTGTATTTTCAATCTCGAATTCGACTCTACACCATGGATTCAAATGCCTTCGTCAAAAAGCTCACCTTCAAATCCCAGGATCTCGGCGCAGACATCGACCTTCTTCTGACTTTCGACGATCAGCCTATCGGTGAGCTGTACAAGAAGTATTACCCATCGGCTTTTGCGTACGTATATCCTTCATGTCTTCATCTTTGTTGTCGCGCTCACTCGCTGATGTGACTTTTCGAATAGGGTCAGGAGATTTGCGGCCGATGGTGGGTGAATACTATCACTGCTTTGGGCTATCTAAATAAGCACCGACACCTGCAGGCGCTTACCACTGCGAAATTGTGTATCGATCACAGTAAGGGCGACTCGAAGCTTGTGCGAAGAGCTAATTTACGATGAACCCCTCAGACTTGCGTTCACCAAGGTTGTTGTTTCCAACGACGTCATCCAAAGTGCTTCGACCGAGGTTTCTATCAACGTGAGAGTCGGATGGATTCACGAATTTGTCGTTGATCTCACGGACTGCTACTTAGGTTGGGCAATCTACCATTCTAACCCAGAAGGGCGAGGTATACCAATTTTCCGTAAGTACGCCTACTGGCATTATCGATGTCCGTTTGCGAGACAAGCTTAGGATCCCAAAACCGACCCATTGGTGCCGAAGAAGAATATTCAATGTACGAACAGCGCACCATACAAACAGGATATAGGGGTCGGTACGTATAACTGCTATCTCGAGATTTCTCGCGCTACATTCGTATGAGCCCTCCACCGGAGTCTTCAGCATCGATCAGGTTTGAGATATGATCTTTTGGATATTTCCTTTGTGTTCCAATTGTTTACCTCTGACTTTAAATTTGTTCTTGAACGTTGGCTGCTGTCGTGTACTTCAATATGTTTGTGCTCTTCCAATGATTTCGTTACTGTGTCGCAACTCAATTCCGTCTGTTATGTGACTTGTGCCTCCAAAGCGGACGACGATAAGTGGCCGGGCTGCAAAAGAAGTACTGCCTTTCAGCTTTTGCGTATGTGTATCCCTATATCCTTCATCTTTTCATCTGTCATCAATGAACCCATCAGTTCTTGGCGTTGTGGCCTTGGCGATTGTAGACGGATCTAATTCTGCTGCCGCTAAATATGACCATATATACTCCGAGAAACTTGGCTTTTAAATTGAGACTGCTCAATTCTAACACACCAGCAGGCTCCTTGAATCCCAGCCCCACGGTCGAGTCTATACTGACATAATCATACATTAAATAGATTGTGATCATCAGTTAATTGCCATACATGAATCATTGTAATTACCACTTGTAGTGATATATCACTAATGTATGACTCTCAATACCCACAAAAACAGGACAGGGGACCTTGGATGCATTCAGTACCCTTTTGTACCTGTCACATAGGTTTTGTACCTTACTTCTGCTTCCTTGTGCTTACTTATCCTTTTTCATGCCTTTTGTACCTTATTATCCTTCTGTATTTTTACCAAATCCCACCGCGGTTGCCATTTTTCATCAAGTCCAAACATCACGTGATACACAGAAAATTTGATTGAAGTCTGAGCCGCCCACAGTTCTGATTTTACTAACCAGACATTTTATATAACATATGCTGACAAATTTTATATTACAACACCAGCAGGACAATTTTTGGCATTTTAGAAGCTTGTGTATGAGATCAAGAATGTAAAATAGCTAAATAAGTAGAATATGAGACCTAGTTGTATCACAAGATGAGCTCGGAGAGTTGGAACAAGTCAAACATGTTGCTTTCTAATGGTTGTTATTTAGTACATGACTGATACATGACTGATATATCACTCACTTTGCAGATGCTCCATGAGTCAGAGACTTTGGCCGCTTCTTCGATGCTGAATTCTCTTTGCCGATGGAGTCAGCAACCTCATTGCAGGTTGACTCCTTGCGCTCTTGTTTTGGTCATCCCAACGCAAGGGACTCATTGTAGAGACTCACATCTCCACAGACACTTCTCTCAAATTCTTCCACTTCCCTCACAAACTCCAGCTCTAATCCAAAGGATATGTCTTGCGCAATAGTGCACTATATTTTATTCACCTATGATTCCCACATATCTGAATTAGTAAAGTGGCCTGACCGCACTCTCTCTGTCACTTAATTAAGCTTATTTGCATTGGTATCGAGCACCGGCAGTGCGCCCCAGCTCTTTCAGTCACTTGTGAGTGTTTTCTCAAACAGCCTTGACTTCTCTTTCCGGTACGTCTTTCCCAGGCCAATTTTGGCAGTCACGCTGACGCAAACACCTGCCAAACAACGTGCTCACCGTCTACCGTGATGAGCTCCCACCTCCTGCCAAATTTCACCATTTCTTCCAGCATTTTTTGGCAGTACACGCAGACTATAGACCTATCTCTATTCCTCCATCAACGGACTGAATCTGGCTCTGCTTCCTGCACACATGGCCCCCCGCAACAAATCAACAAGGTAACGTACAAAACTTTATAACCTGCTCATTGCTGCTAATGCTCACTACAGTGACTATACATTATCCATACTCTGTACACGAAGACTATACACCCATCTCTGTTCCTACATCAACGAACCAGATCTGTCTCTGCTTCCTGCACATATAGCCCCCGCGACAAATCAACCAACTCTGGGAACATGTTCAACACTGTCGCAGTCTTTGGCTCTTTAATTTGACGGTATGACGATGGCACGAGTACTTCAGCGCTCTGTGTGAGGGACCTTGTAGATTCTTGGGGCAATTGGCTAAGTACGGAGGCTTGATACATAGACAGCGAGCTTGTACTACTTCAGACAGGATGAGCCAATGAAATGAGTATATTGCCAAGTCATTCTAGATGTTTTCATGATCGGATTCAACATGTGCGCTACTCTTTTTTGAATGCAAGTCTCCTTCTTTGTTGCCCTGCACTGTGTGTGTTCCCTCGTCTCTAACTCTGAGTATATTATCTACCTATTCTAGATGTTTTCATTATCGGATTCAACATGTGTGCTACTCTTTTTCGAGCGCCGAGTCCCCTTCTTTGTTGCCCTGCACCATGTGTGGTTCCTTGACTCTAATCAGATTGGCCTTTCTCAGTCAGTTTCCGAGCGTGTTTCGAACGTAAGCTGCCAGCAGGTGAACCATCTGCAGTTCGCTTACTGTTGGTTGCTGTGACAAGAACTGGTGCTTCATCGGGCATTGGAAGAGGAGTAGGCATGGGAGGAGTGGGAGGCAACTGCACTATGGGAGGTCCATTGTTAGAAGCGGCTGAAATACAACATCAACACATTGTTTACACTAGAGTAGAGATATATTTACCATGATCAAGTGCACGAAGAATGGGATCCACCATTTCATTTGTAATCGACGAGGGGCGCATGTAAGGCTCTGACGAAGCCGCAGTGGGTGTCATGGGAGCAGGTGTGATATCATAATCTGCAGATTGTTCAGACTCAAACACACTGGATGGTGGCGGCATTGATGTCCAAGTGTTGGCCATTGGTGACTGAGTCAAATGGGGAGTAGGAATGTCGGATGATGGTGGTGGCAGTGATGTCCAAACATTGGTCGTTGATGACTGTGTTGAATCAGGAGCAGGCAAGTTGGATGGCATTGGGGGCTCGAGGTCAGGAGTGAGTATCTCACCATCATTGATAAGACGCTGTTGCTCTTTGGCTTCTTGTGGTGTGATTTTTATGAACTTACATGTATTGGCCTGAATCGCAAGGACCACATTCTCGAGGCTCTCGATACCGCCTTTCAGGTCAGATGGATTGGCCCATTTAGGGTGGTTCCACCCTACAAGCTTGACGTGGTAGTGTTGGACAAGATCATTATAGCATTTGAACTCCATTACCGCTGAGGGATTATTTGTTACTTCACCTGCAATGAATCAGTGGATAATTTTAAACACAAAAAAGGGGGGCTTACAAAGTGATGCACGAATACCATTTCAAATGGCAGTCTTCGCATTAGAAACATGCTGTCGATGATTAGCAGCCACATCTAGATTACAACAAGGTTAAACCATGTGTATAGAAAAAAATAGTTAAGTACGAACTCATAATGAGGCCATTGGCCAGTATTGTGCTCTCAAGGTTGGTTGCCAGTTGCGCGATGTCCTTATGTAGATATAAAGGAACAAAGTGTTCAGCTGTGGGGCTTGTGAAGAATGCCTTTGGCACCATGGTGAAGTTGGAAACACCACGAACCATAACGATGAAGGCTTCAACGCCAACACATTCCTCGAGAGCTTCAAGCTGCGTGAAGTATTAGTCAAACAGACAACCAAAGGTAAGGCAGCGAGTACACACCTCTTCTCTCACCAACTGGAAGTTCCGGGAACATTTAGCAGCCCGTGATCTAGTGGTGATGTTTGGAGGACGATCCCGAGAACTCTTCTTGACTTTGTCAAAGTCAATTATAAGCTGCGCCTTCTCCTCAGTGGTAAGTTGGTGGTACTCGGTTTCGTCCTTTGCAAGATTGGCGATGTTTGACTTCTCACTGAAGCTTTTGTCTAGAACAGCCATAGTTAGCGACAAACACAGTAGTTGTACTATGAGGAAAACTTACTGGCATTGTTCTGGATGCCTTTGAAGTGCATATAGGCATACCAGGCACTTGTCTTGTTGCATTTGCGGTGGTGGACAACAGAACCAAGCGATAACCTCTCAAGGTAGCAGCATCGAGGTTGTTTGAACTTAGATGCCAAATCTGTGGCCTTTGCATTAATGTAATTGAGAACGGCTCGAACCTGTTGGTCCTCGTCAAGGCATTTAGCCCGTCATTGCTCTGTTAGTTGCTGACGTACTTCTTTCGATACTTTGACATATAGGGCGCGTGTTCGAGGAACTAACCGGCGAGGATTGTGCGAGCGAGCAGTTCCTGGGAGCACCATCACAGTAATTCTGACAGGGAATGAGGTAACAGGCTGAGAGGTTGAATAGCATTTTAAACAAATCATACAAGGCCAGATTAAAAAAAATGTTACAAAAAGTATTATGAGAGTGACACCTAAGAATCAGTCAACATAGCATTTGCAATAGCCTCCACGTGCTCCTCCGAGATCTCAGCGACCTCCTGCAATTTCAAAAACCACTGCTTCGGAAGGTAATCTTTGCCGATTGATATGCAGACCCGATGAAAATGATCTGGGTAGCCTAGCTCTTCTAGGACTACCTCTGTTTCATTCCCAAAAGGAACAAGCGCCAGCATACTATAATGCCACGAATCAGATGGGGACCTAGCAGTGATCGACATGGGTGTGGGTAATTCAAAGGATGTGCTTTTGCTCCTCATAGGAGTTGTAGGAGGGTAATGTCTCCAGGCCTGGTCACTTGTTGAAGCAGGGTAACATTTATCATCACTGTTTGACGGAGGGTAACATCTCTCAGCCTGGCTACTGCTTGAGGACTGGTTGAAAACAGCAGGGGTTGTTGGCTGAGTGACCAATTAGATGATAGTTCCACTGGGAAAACAAACTTAAATTTACCTGACGTGCACTGTGATCCTGTGCTGATACGACAGCCCTCCTACTTGGTCCCTCTTTGCGGACCTGATAACCCTTGCTCTCCCGAGTATGCAATAATTGGATCTGAGTTGGCTTCCACGTAATTCTGCTGTCGTAGGATGGCATATATGATAAGATATTGGAGGAGGACGTCCATAAAAAGTGAAATGTGCCGATGATGGTGAAATAGGTGAGGGAATAAGAGGTGCAATTTCAACTTGTTTGCCTTTCGATGTTGTCTTGCCTTTTGAAGGTGTTTGAGAGACTGGGCCGCTGCCTTTCCAATTGTTGTGAATACAATTTTGTGCGAAGGCTCGGGCCAAAGGTGTCGCATAGTCAGCGATGAAGAGTTGAGAGATTTGAGCGACGACCGAGTGAAGCTCACGATGCTCCGAGAGCACTTTGGGATTGATATAGACTTCAGCCTTGAGGTTCTCAGGAGAGATGTCTAAGGATGGAGGTGTAGCGCCAGGATGATGCAGGACAATTGTTGAACCACCTGTCAACCTATCTAAAGTGGTGCACTGAACATACAGTTCAGTGGAAGGAAAGGTCTGAATAGGAGATGACACTTGCCAGGTCAAATATAGTTTGCAATATCTGCTCTGCATGAATCGCTTGAGCCCGCCAATTATTTATCCTCTGCTCCTCTGTAGCCGTCTGAGATTTAGAAAACCCAGTGAGATAGTGTTCGCTAGTAAGTGGATGAAAGCCTTTGTTCTGCTCTAGATGCCCGTCATCATTGTGAAATCCATGAGTAACCAAAGATAATAGTGCTGAGTTCCAGTGACGGTCGTATCCAGCAATTGATTGAAGATATTCAGGGCAAGGAAATAGAACCTTGCACTCTTCAAAGCTGCCAACTGTAGGAGATCTGTTGTATGTAGAGGACTTCCAGTCTAACAGGTTAGAGGACATGATGGACGATGACTGAGATCAGCCTTAGGTTGCAATGAGGCAATGGCATTTGTAAGATGCAGCGTGACAAATATGTACTAACTCAGACAGTATGCTAATATCAAGTGGGGATTTACAATGCAGATTTGTGGTATATAATTCAGTACTTGATAGAGTGAGTCACTGTATCATTACAGCACAATATAAGTCACAATCCATTGTTGCAGTGCAAGCACTGCAACAATAGAACAACTTAATATTGTGCTGTAATGATACAGTGACTCACTCTATCAAGTACTGAATTATATACCACAAATCTGCATTGTAAATCCTCACTTGATATTAGCATACTGTCTGAGTTACTGAATTCAAATATGTGCAGCGCTCCAGATGTTTCATTTTCATGGTCCAATGACACAATCCAGCAAAGGCATATTGCAATCTATTACAAAACAATGGTATTACTATTCTGCAAGTTCTAAGTCCACACGGTGATGATCTAGTCCCTCAATGTAAGCTTGTACGTCTTCCAACTGTTGCCCAAGCTCTGTGTCATCTCCATCTCCGTCCTCTCTATCCTGTTCATGTGGTACAGCTTCATAGGGATAAGCACACACAACATCAACCCGACCTACACGAGTGCCAGGACTCTTTGGCCCACTGTAACCAGGAAGCTGCATAATCTGCGGCATGCGCCAAATGTGACGTGCATTGATGGACCAAAGCTGTGTCCAGCAACGCCGGAGTTCGGCTGCAAGGGGTGGGTCATTGGACAGAAGTTGTGCGATGGCGCAGGGATAATCAATGGCATCATCTTGCATCTTTGTGAGTAATCGTCCAACCTTGACATTCAGCCGACGAATCTCTTCATTAGCACGCTGGTGCTCAAAATATTGCGAAGACAAGTGTTAAAAATGTGAAATGTATTGTCAAGCCTTACCTAGTCCACTCATTTGCAACTTAGTCAACTCAAGCAGACACATGATGATAAGACGTTCAACGTCGTCTACAGCCTTGTGGAACAGCCGATTGGTAATGCATGATTGTGCCTTGATCCGCTCTGGGTGGTCTGGACCCCATCTCAAGTCAAGGGCCATTTGATGTTCATAATTGATGACAACCTCGAGCTTCTGATCATGTTTGTTAATAGCATGTGAATGACAGCGGCGTATGTCACCAGATTCCCTTGTAGAATAATTGACCCGTAAATCAAGGGTACTGAACTCCACATGCACGGATTCATATGAATGCCTTACATAATATTAACATCAGTTTCTGTGTGCGGCTGAACAAAAAACTTACTGAGCCTTGTCATACTCATTCAATGCTTTTACATAGTCAATTTCAATGCTGGATTCTTCCTTCTTGCGTGCAAGGCATTGTAAAACCTGGTGCTCGTCCTTGAGATCATCTTCGAAGTTGGGCTCGAGGGCAGCATTTGACGCATGGAAGTTGGCGAGGAATATGTTTGTTGTAGAGATAATTGTCAGTGCTTGGACATAATTATTATAAATGAAGTCAGCTACATTCAGCGTTAGCATGGACCCTGCAAAAATGATGTGATGTACATAGGGCTGCATATTTGTCCAAATCAGCAAAAGAGAAATGTTTTTCAAGATAGACATCAAACGCAGTGCGCATCTGTTCGGCTAGGTGCCGACGATAACAAAGCTAGGGCAATCTAAGAATATGTACAAGAGGGTGACAAAACACTCACGTCATGCATGAAACAAAGCATCTTTGCTGCAGCGTGAATACTGAATCTTGGGCATACCCGATGACTTTGTCGGAACACGTCAAGGGTACGAATGGTAATTGCAACCGTTGGGCAAATAGGTGAACTGCCTATGCAGCCGTAATGAAGTAAGGACACATTGATGAATGGAGAAAGGGATCTAAAAGTTTGGACATGACGCTCTAAGAGAACATTAGATGTGCGAACATTACTGTAATAGACAGCATACCAAAAAGATCAACAACTTCAATGGTAAAATTCTCTGACTCGTTGTCAGAGATTGGAGGCGGAGTGCAGTCTTGCTTGTATGCCAAGAAAGCATCTGTGAGATCATCGTATTGTGATGCCCACTCTGCAACTTGATGTGCCACTCGTCCGCTGCAATTGCGGGTGTCAAGTCGTCTATTCATCAATTTAGTAAGAGGAGATCGTATGCAGAGATAGACAAAGTAATACCGTGTTTTCGTCATTGTAAGTGTCTCGAGCTCCTGGTAGAGTGAAATTCTATCTCCAGCATGGCTGACCCATGGCTGACTGAGAACCCTTCCTCGCCAGGAGGAGGGACCATAGAATCTACATCCATGAAATAAGTTGAGAAGTTAGTGAGGTCAAAATTGTCAGATGGTGTTTGCAATGTCATGCTTGGTCCACCACTCTCTGCACTTAACAAATGCTCGCGCTCCACCAAAGAAAGTTCTAAGAGATGGCATTAGGAGAAACATAATGGAAGTATGAATGGGACATACTTTTGAGGAGAGCAGAGTGCACTTCATGTGCGTCCTGTTCACGTTCACGAATGACTCCAGCATGCAGTGTTTTGACTTTTCCCCCGCCACCAACATGAACAATGCATTGTCTTGAAACACCATCCAGGGAATTGAAACTGGCAGGCATGGGGAACAGAGGTGTGTAGTGAGCGTTAGCAGCAATGAGCAGGTTATAAAGTTTTGTACGTTACCTTGTTGATTTGTCGCGGGGGGCTATGTGTGCAGGAAGCAGAGCCAGATTCAGTCCGTTGATGGAGGAATAGAGATAGGTCTATAGTCTGTGTGTACCGCCAAAAAATGCTGGAAGAAATGGTGAAATTTGGCAGGAGGTGGGAGCTCATCACGGTAGACGGTGAGCACATTGTTTGGCAGGTGTTTGCGTCAGCGTGACTGCCAAAATTGGCCTGGGAAAGACGTACCGGAAAGAGAAGTCAAGGCTGTTTGAGAAAACACTCACAAGTGACTGAAACCAGCTGGGGTGCACTGCCGGTGCTCGATACCAATGCAAATAAGCTTAATTAAGTGACAGAGAGAGTGCGGTCAGGCCACTTTACTAATTCAGATATGTGGAAATCATAGGTGATTTTATTTTGCAGATTCCATGCACAGCCACTCGCATCTCGCGCGCACCGCATGTCCGCCCTCACATCATCTGCATACTCATCTGTCTGTCCTCCCCATGTCCTTAGATGTTCATTGGTGCGTTTTCTCACTATATTCCCATTTTGACTAATTTTTTTCCATCGCTAATGCTCAGGTTTGCACTTCGCACGCAGCCAAGACCCTGTTACATACTTCATGTACTATTTATAGCCTGTTCAGCTCGCTAATTCGGACCTGTGTGCCTAGTGACGCTTGGTTATTTTACACATACTATCCCTCTACTCTATATTCTGGGTTGATTTTCCACCCACTTTCTCTGTGTCCTTAGATACAAGGGAATTTTACTTGTTGATTGCAGTGACTATCTAAGTCTTGCGCATTAGTTGTCCGCCCTTCACCTTAGCATCAGCCAACCTTAGTTGGGGTGTTAACAGTAGTCTCGCTTCATCTCTCTCTCATCTCGTTCGCTCATCCTTACTTTGCACTCGCTCGCGCGCACTACCTTCGTGTTGCACATCTTGCCCTTTGCCTTTTGCACTCACGTGTCTGCCTATCATTTATCGCATTGCTCCCGCCTCGCCTTGATGTATGACTTGAGGTACTGGGCCTTGTCATGACAATGTTTTATATATGAGACTTTTTGTTGTGCTACAGTATATAATGTATGAGTACTACAAGAACAGGTGCCTGCAATGCCATTTTAAATAACTTTGCCACTGATATTTTGTAGCTCATCCACGGTCCTGTCACCCACCAGGGACAGGCTTCTTTTGCATAATATCAAGATTGTATTTGATATGGTTGACGTCACCACGTATACATCTTGTTCCATTCAATTCCATGTCAGTGCTGTCAACCACCGGCCTCTCTCAGCGGCATTCATCAACGGAGGCAGAAACTTGGTGGCGCCCGATGGCTATGGAAAGCTTTTCTTCTGGGAATCAGCTTCTGCCAATTTATTGTGGTCAATTGAATCAGGATGCTGTAAGTGTTAAAACTTCCTTCAATGGAAATTCTGTGCAAATATATACTAATGTCTTCATGCGCAGCAAACATACAGGCTCTGGCAGTAAGTCAAAGCTTCAATAATTTTGTGTGCACCTTGTGATGATATTTGTGCGGTTCTGTAAGACACCGACCATAGATATACAGGTTTGCTCTCTGGCGTTTTCTGGAGAGTTTATAACAAACACAAATGAAGACTGTCATCATGTCGTATTTGTCTGGCAACTCACCCGTGAGACATGTACTCAAGCTTTGGACATATGTAGTGCTTACAGATCTTCCTTAGAGCCTGGACTATTGGAATCTGAATTGCGATCTCAAGACAACCACTGTGTAGAGAGCCTGCAGCCATTGCTCTACGTCGCATTGGCACGCCAGACCTGTCGTGCAAGCAGTGATGAAGGTAGTCATCAGGATCAAGCCAAGCATGATGCACTGTTCATACTTCCCTAGAATTAAGCTGGGACACAAGTCATACAAACAGATTTTATTGAACCTTGGCTCACTCATACTGACATGTCCCCTTTATGTGGCGTCCGCATGGGTGTGTCGCTTACATTACATGTTTCTTTTCACCTGTAACTTATCTCTATCCAGATCCATGCATTCAGGATGGTCCCATACCTAATCACCACAAGCCAACACATACGTCGGATGCATGCAAGATAGAAGAGCTTGATTCAAATCCTCAGCGCAAGGATCCAGCACCCCTGTTGTCTAGCCTGCACGTTGCGGCACAATGCATCCCTATCCCTATGAGTGGGATGATCCCAGATGATGAAGATTCTATGCCTAAATCTCCATTGATCATGGGCGTCAAGTCAGTGCTAGCTGTTCAAACAAGAGAAGTGTTTTTAGGATCTGGCAGGTTGGCAAATTGGATGGTTCTCCATGAGAAGAGGCATCAATGCACGCCCATGATCTGTAGGGCATTGTCCAAGGTACTAACTTATCTCACATGTTTGAGTGCTTTGATGATCTTTCTGTGTCCGGTGGAGGGTTACATCGAGGCTCGATCCAGCCTTGGGGCTACTAATTACAGGTGTCATACGAGTCTGTTATCTGATGTCCTTAATCTTACCTAGACTTAGTAATAGCATACACTATGTCAACACGTCCCTACCAATGTAGGGTCCATTGCACTTGGCCCTGATATGCAGCGCTATCAGTCCAGCTTACCGTATATAAGCCTGTTTTTGATGACTCGCTTCTACTGGTAGTGACCCTCTGCATCCGTCAAATCAATGACCACCTTCACAGTGGATCCAGTTAAGTCGATATACTCTTTGAATGTACAAGTAGAACTATGGGCACACCTGTGATCATACATGAATAATAGCTCACTCAATTAACCTACCGATGGCATATTGCATTTTTGAAAGCATGGTACAAGCGAATTAGATGTGATTGTTGGCTAACAAATTGGCAGCAAAGAGGGCATTGAGGATGCCGCTTCAGCTGAGAATTAATGCATATAGCACAAAACAGATGTCCTAGTACACTTTTTTGTTAGTGAGATCAGGTTGCAACTTAGCTGAGACAAAACAAACAAACCACATGGTGTGACCAAGGGTATCACTGTTGCGTCATCAAATTTGAGATGACATACAGGACATGTAGACATGGTGATTGGCTGATTGGTATATATCTGTAGGCTCTATATATATACAAACACCTGGATGTCACTGAATGTAAATATTTATGATCTTATAAGTGTCTTACATGCATGGGAGAGGCGCAACTCTATTGCATTTTCAAAATCTGGGATGAACCAGCGACTATAATAGTAGGAGGCCGTGCTACTGCTTAGTAATTACAGCAAACAAGAGTCATCCTTTGCTTGGCCAAATTCCAATACGATACAAATCCCTCCATAACACTATATTTCACCGGAACTCATCTCTCAGGTTTGCAACATGCTGAGCCAGATCCTTTACATTCAGAGTCTATGTCACCTGTCTGAAGGGGATAGCAAACAACTCAACTTATTAGTACTTGGAGGAGGGTTTACTTTATAGTGCTCGAGGATGTCGATATGGTTTGTTTAATCTTGTTCTTTTTGAGACCCTCTTTAAATTATTAGCTGTGCCTCCGCAGACTTTGTAGCAATCTTCAATTGCAGTGCTCTTAACCTCACACTCCACCACCAGATGGGCATTGTGAGATAAAAATACCTGGATGATTTACTCGACTATTTCCGTCAGAGATGGTAACTCAATCACAGCTCTGGACTACATATCTGGTACTAGTCTCATTGTGGTGTCTGCATGGCCACCAACTAGCAGCCCATACGGCCTTTGGTTACTCTTTTGGCAGGTTCAGCATGATGCGCAGAATGTTCATACATCGGGTACTAGCGTATTCCACCAGATGTATTTCCACAGGTAAGACAGGTCTTTCTTGTGCCTGAATGCACTAATAATGAATGGACTTGGTCTATCAGCAGTTTGCATAGTTTTTGCTCTCCCACCAGAATGTCTGGGATGCATAGCAGTTTCCCATCCTGCAGGTGCAACCTCAGAAGTCCGTGCTGCAGGACAAAATTCTTATAGGACTTAGGTGCGTCCAGGATGGTCTTGAAGAATGGATCTTCCTCATACCCTTTAACTTCAGACAGCATTGCCTCCTTTTCAGGGCATGTTAATGGTTTGGAGTGGTGGCTTGGTCAGCCCTTCTTTCACAGATGTTGTCGTCTGGTATGGCTCAGGCTCAGGGTTTGGCTCCTTTAGGTGCACCCCTCCCTCCTTTCCTTTGACAGGACCCTTAAGGATGAAACGATCGTGCATCCGCCATGCAAATTCAGCCAAAGTCTCGGGTCGACTGGTTTCCACGGGTTCAATGGGTTGTCAGACCCATGGGTGTCATGCAGCAGGGCTGATGGGTAAGCCTGTTGCTTTGTATCAACTCCATTTCTCAGTATCTTAGCAGCATGCTGTATGATGACACGCACTCACTGTGCAACCACCTCATATCTGCTATTCTTACTATGGGAGAAGTGTACCATATCTTCCACCATCAACTTCTCATGGACTACGGGTAGCAGTTGATGTCCCTTGTGTCGTTATTGGTTTTATTCATGATGCATTTTTTTTCCTCAATAGTCATCTGGGAGGACCCTCTCATCTCACACTCTGGGAAAGACGTGACTGCCTCCTTTTTCGGCAGCATTTATGCCCACTCTCGTGTGGCACATAATGTGTGTACCATGTTTCTGCTTGCTGTCCTAATGATGGTAATGATTAATGTTGATCCTCGTCAGCCGATACACGCTCCATTACATAGCTTCTTGTGATGATGCTTGTGGGCATCCTTTAGTCAGTTGTACGTGCTGATGAAGGGGAAGTCTGGCAGGTCATTGAAGGGTTGCCCAAGGGCCGAGGAAGATGAAGGTTAACACGGACCATGTCATTATTCTGGACATTGGTAAGAGGATCTCATTTTGCACGACATGTAGGCTGATTTGTGGTTCATGTTAGCTACTGATGACCGAAATCTTGGTCTTGACTCCACATTCAGAGCCGATTTGAATCCTTGCTATGTTTGCTAGGTTGTCAAGCCATGCTGAGTTTCAGAGGTGTGCAGAGAGCTCACATGGAAGTCACCGCACAGAATGAATACATGGCTGGCAATAATCATGACCCTAGCACACTTTGATAGAGAAAATTACACGGGGAGATGGAACCATCTTATTCTGTTATGCAGGATGAATAGCATTACTTACGCAGGGCCTAGTAATATAATGTATCCTATTGCTAATGGGCAGGAAAATGAGAATATTTGTGAAAGACATGGCCGGTGTCACTCAAATTTAAGTCCTCGAGGACAAACATTGACCTTGGTAGATCAAGTAAGTATCTGGGGTCTTCAGCCTTTTCTTACCCTTTCACCAGTGGCAATTTTCGACAATGAATCCTATTGTCAAAGGCAAATAAAAGGGTATCATTTTCTGAAGCGAGTTGCAACGGTAGATAATGTACCCTTTAAATGCTCATCCTAGGGTTAGATAATAACATACTTTGTATGTCGCATATATGTTAGCCTTTCCATCTGCTAAAAATAATATAAACAAGCCTAGCCTTTAATCAACCCAGATGTTCTTGGATATTGCAAGGCGAAGATTGATCATCTGTTTGCATACAAAAGACCAATGTGTTGATACCATTCTGAATCTTAATACTTCTGACATCTCTTTTGAGAAAAAGTCTAAGGTTCACCCACAGCATCTCGGTTGCAAAGAATTAAATTTAGCACATTCCTCAAAGGCAGCCTTTCAGTTACCTGTCAGTATCAAATATTTGGAAACCTCCCGCCAGTCCTTTTCTGCATGTGTATCTTAACCTATGCAAATAAAAGTTTTGTTTCTGTTAGACATGCCAGTTGGAAGATGATGTCGCTTGAAATAAATGCTTTGTAAATTGACAGTCCATATAGTCATAATGATACATCTAATGTATTGTAATGACCAAGAAAAATAGGATACATTAATGAGGTGAACGAGCAGGTGCTTTTGAGCTACCACAGTGATGTATCCATGAGGAGGATCCCATTCCGCTTCTTACCACTTTAGGTTATGTATCCGATACATTGCTGTTAGGCTATCATTACTGATGTATCTGTTTGCCGGATCATATGAGCGTGGTTTTAGCTGATGTATCTAATACATAAGTGACTGTTAGGCTACATACTGACTATCCTACTGATGTATCCATTTGGCAGATCATATGAGCATGGGTACTTCCGGGTCCTTGTACTAATCCTTCACCGTTTTAGGTGATGTATCTGATACATTACTGTTAGGCTATCATACAGACTATCCTACTGATGTATCCGTTCGGCGGATCATACAAGCACAGGTACTTCCAGGTCCTTGTGCTCATCCTTCACCGTTTTAGGTGATGTATCTGATACATTATTGTTAGGCTATCATACTGACTATCCTACTGATGTATCCGTTCGGCAGATCATACAAGCGCGGGTGCTTCCAGGTCTATGTACTCATCCTTCACCATTTCAGGTGATGTATCCGATACATTGCTGTTAGGCTGTCATAGACTAATCACTCATATTAATTGTGTCTGATCGTCCCTGACTGGTCAACCAATTGAAGGAATAGAGACAGAATCTTAAGCTGGTGGAGACAACTTTGTGTTGAACAGAACACAGGGCCATCAGAGCTCCAGAAAGCAATTACAAAAGCCCTGCGTAGCTATGACTCCGATGAACATGAAGATGAAGATCAGCTGGAGACATTAGGCAATTCTAGTGAGGAGAACGATGACGACACACCATATGTCATTTTATAAATAGAAAGTAAAATGAACATGAAATTAATAACCCACAGATACAGATCGGATCTTCCGGAATGTCTGCTTGCTATAAAAAGGATCAAAGACAACATGTTGTCGTTGATTGATGAACCTTGCACATTCACTGAGGCACTCTTGCTTCAGTTTGTAAAAAGCATTACATACACAGATGACCGCGCTGACGATGGTGATCAAACCATTGTCCCGGATATGATAGCCAAGGTCTGACACTTACTCAATCAAGCCATCCCTGTTCAAGACAAAATCCATAATTTCTGTGGTTCCTTAGCAGCTGAGTTTAGTGCTGCTAACTTTGATGTAGAGGGGATTTCAGAACTCTGCGTTGCTCACTCTATGGGGGAGTTAATGTATCAGAAGGGTTATCATCTCTGAGTCTTTCCATTGAGTGGCCTCTGTACAATTGTAAATCATCTAGTATATTTTTGCACCAATGTAACTTGATTTCACCGCATGTGACAGTGGACATGGCTCTTTTTGATTCCAGATGGTCTTGAGCCCATGATATGCTGACAAATCATATGACATTGCCTGCCAGTGGCATAAGAAACTTTGGACCCATATGACATTGATGCCAGCCCAACTGCACCTCAACCGTGAAAACAAGATGATTCGTTTTTTTGTTCCAAAATTTCATCTTAAGGCCCATATTCAATCATGTTAAACGGCATTCTCATTCAACTTTGGGAAGGATGTCGGATGCACGGATGGGGAAGTGCCTGAGAGAGGGTGGGCAAATATTAACCGTGTGGCATCAAGTATCAAGGAAATGGGGCCAGGAGCACGCCGCAATACATTGGACAACCACTTTTCAGACTGGAACTGGAAAAAAGTAACGATACTTGGTGGGTTGGTGACTGGACTGTTTCATTCTCATTCTCACGGAATTGCAGGGCAAAACATGCTCCACAAAATCAAAGAAGCTTCATTGAGAAGAGCTTGATGAACTACAACAATCAATTCCAGCATCATCACTCTCTGTTTGGAGTCAGAGATTGAGGCATGGGAGGAAGACAACACATGGCCAAACCCATTTGAGAGTAGGGTTGTCCATGAGCTTTTCTCTCTATTGATTTATTCTGAAACTCAATTACATTGGACAGCCATGACTCAAGATGCTATACGCCGCCAGCTGGCTGAAAAGGAGGCTACAGACTTACAGGCTAGTGTAGATGTCTCATTACACACTGACATCTCCCCTAGTGTCCTCATCGCATTGGGTATTGACTTACAAGATCAGCAGTGAGTATTTCAATATTTGCGGGAACCTCCTCTCATGAACGAAAAAAATAGATGGTGTTTGGCTGCAGACATTTCTGCTTTGGGTCAGCATGCGACCGACACACAAAATACCAAAATATATAATCAAAGCAACGCTCTGCAATGTTGACTGGACAATTGGGCTCAAATCCAAGTTCTTTACATGCCTGCAGTTGCTCTGATCCGAGCCACAGAGGAAATCCATCATTCTGAAGGCATTGCAGCACTCAAACCAGAGCAATTTCAGCTCTGGTTACCATCCCAGCTTGCATCCCATGACCCACACCTTCCCTGCGACAAAAAACTTCATGAATGTGAATGGGAACTCCGGTATGCCCAAGCCCATGATGCATTTAACAATGTTCGACAGCACATTCGCTTATTTGCTCACCTCAACACATTCAAGACAGCAAATATATGTGGTCAATGTGCCTCCACTCATGCGCGCACCGCTCTCAATCACACGATTGAAAAGAAGCATGCTAGCAAGCATAAATATCATGCTGCTCACGATGCACTCATTGCCCTTGCTCCCTTACTCAGAAAGGTTGGCCGGACTGATATCTTACGCCCTCTTGGAGTAACAGATATGAGGCCTATGGGTGACTTCATTCAAGGACAATCTGAAGGTACTCGTGATATACTGTGGATATGGAAGACACCCGGAGTGCTGCAAGACAATACTTTAGGACTGTATGTATCACAATATCACTATTTGAAAGCTGCGAAGTTGACGGATGGCTGACAGGTCTTCGCATTGAGTGGTGCAAGGCAAGAGTGCAAGAGGCACGTTGGTCCGAAGAATTGCTGCTGTTGCTTGAAGAGATGTAGAGGGTGCTGACCTTCTTAGCCTGGCAGGGTAAATGGTGGTCCAGACTGGCTTCGGCATGTCATTTAGAGAGATCAGCAGATAGTGAAGGATCTGCCACTTCAGTCAACCCCTTAAATAGACCTCTTAGGTCTATGTGTTTGTGGCTAGCAAAGGACCTAGTGGGTGTGTTCTAGAATGGTATTCCCAGTATTTTACTCTATGTACTGGGATATCCCAGTCCACACTGAAGCAAGTATCTGGGCCATCCCAAGGACCTATCTGTGATCTTTCCCAATCCCAACTGGGATCACTCCAGCATGTCTCTAGGAAAGTCCCAGGGCATTTATTAGGTGGGCTTTCCCATCATAAATAGGGGTAATAGGGGTCCTTTTTCAAACAATTTCGGGACATTGGAATCCACAATTCTGTACAATCATGGGAAGTAGTGGTGGATATGTACATCTGTAAAGTAATTAGTACAGACATAAAATAAATTCAGGCCCTTGAATGATAGCACTAATGCAGCCTAGATAACTTAAACACATGTATTGCCAAATTACTTATACACTATATAGCAAAAACAGTGAATAGGTACATTATGTGGCCAGTACTGCCAAATGAATAATGTGTGCTTACAATAGTGTATTGCACCACTAAAGACTCTCAATACAATGGACACCTATATATTCTAGCTATTTGTGAACAGTTTTTGAATGTCAATGCTGCACACTTTGAGGCATAATTTTCAAATTGCCCAAAATAGGGTGTTTTGGGCTCTCCCACTTGTCATTCTATTGGCGACCAGGCCTTCCCACCAACCCTGTCCACACCATTTGGGCTCTCTCACCTATCATTTTATTAGCAACTGGGTGTTCCCACCAACCCTATACATATTATCTGGGCTCTCTCACCTGCCATTTGATTAGCAACTGGGCCTTCCCACTAACCCTATCAACACCATTTGGGCTCTCCCATCGACCATATATATGTTATCTGGGCTCTCCCGCCTATCATTATATTAGCAACTAGGCCCTCCCACTGACCATATACACATCATCTGGGCCCTCCCACCTGTTATTATATTAGCAACTGGCCTTCCCGCTCACCCTACCAACACCATTTAGGCTCTCCCACCTGTCATTCTATTAGCAACTGGGCTATCCCACAAATCCTGCTCAGTGTCAAAATTAATTAGTTGTCACACATAACATGCATAGATTTTTCCCCTCCAAAATCAGTGCAGGTGGTGTTAATTCAGAGTATTTACAAGTCATGTGATGCATATATTTTCGCTGGCAATGAAAGTCTTCATCAATTAACTCGAGATATATATTATCAATGCAGTTACTATGGCCTTATAATACCATATAAGTAGCACCCTTGGTATTCCTGCTTGTCCGTGCAAAAAAATAAGAGTCTATGTGGGAGGTGACCAACTGCCCTGGCGAGATAATTCACCATATAATCATACCAGGGTTAGTCCAACAAATACATCGGATTGTCAATACAAAATCATCAAGCCAAACATGGACTACACATAGGATTGTAATATTACACAGTGTTCAACAAGAGCAGATAGATGTATGACCTACATTTTTCCAACACATGACAGCACTACAATAAGAAGACACATCAAAGCTTCATCCACACTGGAGACAGCAACTGAGGTGAAGAGGTACATGAAGTACAACAACTTGTGGCGCTAGTGTGGAAAACCAAAGGCAAGCAAAGTCATGTTTCGAATGAGTGGGCAGCATAATTCTTGGCTAAAGAATGTTAGTAGCAAAACCTCGAAGGCCCGTCTTCACAATAAGTGTCACCAGCCCCCCTTACTTGAAACCTCTGACTTTGGTTATCACCCTGATTTTGTCGGTGTGAGTAATGATGATGTTGACGGTATGAATAGTCCCCATTATCAGAAGGATTTGTTTTGCACTGTCTGTAGGTGGGCCAATAGTACCTTGCGTGAGAGGACTCGGCTCGCTCTGGGTACACAGGAGGTGAACGCGAATATTCATGACAGTGGTTTTGGGCAATGAAATTCCTGTCCTCGCGACGAGGGTAGGGCTCGCGTCTAAGTAATGAAATTAGTGTGACCTGTTGTGACTCGTGGAAGTTAATACATACTCCAAGTCTGTGTCATTATGAGAATGAGCGGGATGTTCCTCCATGCGCCGTGCCAATAGGCTACATATGGGCATCGAGTCATCACCACTCCCAACATGAAGTTCATTCCCCAACCCTTCGACAACAAATCCAACATAATTCAAGCATGAGCAGATTGCAGATATTGGGCTGCAGATCCATTTCAGTGGCCACAGATGTACAATGACCTGTACGCTCAAAGTTTTGCAATCCCATGTTGGGAATCCTATATGGACGACTTGAGCATGACATATGCGTGGTTCAGGCCAGCTTTTGTGAGTGACTTTGTGCCAATTGCGCCCAGTAATCTTTTTGGTCAGCTCAAGATGGACATTCTTGACCATCTCAAGTGATTGTACGAGAAGGCTAACAAGCGGGTTAGCAGCTACAAGCTCACAAGGATGCACAAAGAGGATCATGTTGTTGGGTGGGTGCATGCAATGCGCGCTTCCAGCAAGCTATGGCCTGGCGCGACATTGTCATGGTCGTTGCTGAATATCAGTGTCGCTTTCTTGATACCTGGGTGCTTCTAGACTACTGCAAAATCATTGAGCCCCACATGTGTTTCATCGACATCTATAAAGTAAGGGAGGATGGGTGAGGGAAGTACCGGACGCTCATGTGGTTTTCGCTTGGGGCGCATAGCGCCATGTGGTTTTCAAGTAGATACACTTACCTCGCTTATTTCGCCAAAGGCCATGTGATTTCGCTTACCTTGCTTAATGCTTACTTTGGAAATCTTGCGTGGTTTTCTCGCTTGAGCTTGCTAATGGTGACTACGAAAAAATCTTAATTCAGAATTTCGAGAGGTAAATTTCCATGGTGTCCAAAAATGCTACCAAACACAATATAGTGGACAGTGTTCTGCACGCCTACTGCGCCGCGCCCATAATATGGACAAACAACTCACTTTTCCTACTATAAGGGAGCAAGCATCGAGAATAGCAAAAGCATAACAGATTTCGGTTACACAATTTGTTACACAATTTGTTACATAATTTGGTGACACACATCATTACACAAATCATTACACAATTGGCTGCTGCTTTTGTATAGAATTCTCGAATTAAATTGCCCTCCCCCGCAGGCAAGTGTAACAAAGTGTGATACACTTTTTGTGGGTTTTGATTATTATCAACAAAGATAGAAATGACTTATTGATGGGCTCAGGCTACTCAAATTTTGCACTTGCTAAACAACTGTTTAAATATCAAACATGGAGGGAAATATGCCCATTCCATGAGTTGCTGACTATATATTGCTACGCGCAAGGTGCATGATGCTAATGTCTGCACATGCTATTTAGATATCATGAACATATTACCCCAGAACACGAGTGTCACTCCCAACTTGAACGTGATAGAGTCAATTGACTTCAGATGACGTCCCCTACCAGGTGCAATCATCGACATGCTGCTCATGATAGGCCTGCGCCTCATGTACCACAGCCAAATTTCATGCCAGCTAATGAACCTCAAGCAGGGCCTGTTCCACGACCTTTTGCATGGCAGCCTCCTCCTCACTTTCCATATGAACCGCTACCAGTTGGTCAATATCCTGGCTTGCCAAGGAATGCAATTGTGCATGTGCAACGTGCTCATCAGCACCCTCCTGTTGATTATAATGCACATTTGAATGAGCAGATGAATGCAGCTCATAATGATAGACACCGTCAACAGAATTGTCGTCGGCAACAGGACAGAGAGGAGATAAGAGAGCAGGCACAGGCGGAGTTAATGGCAGCTGGGTTACAGCCCATGCAGGTAGCTCAGGTGCATAATAAACCTGCTCAACCTGCTCCTGCTCCTCCTGTATATGGTGCCATTCATTATGAGGGCGGAGTTGGTCCTCACAACTTTGACAATCCTCTTCATTACTTTGCACCTAATCCTGCACCACCTTTGGATGGACTGCCTGAACCTGATTATCATCAGTTTAATATTCAATTTCAGCAACATCTACAGGTAGAACAATTGGAACAAGAGCACATTAGAAATGACTTGCTTCAAAGGCAAGCACAGGAGGATTTTCGACGACATCAAATTCAGCTACTATTGCAACAACAAGAAGCTGAGAGGATCAATAGAGAGGCTCAATGGTGGCATCAGGAGGCTCTTCACCTGCAGCAGCAAGAAGCTGAGAGAATTCAAAGACAGGCTCAATTGCAGCAGCAGGAAGCTCTTTGTTTTCAACAACAAGAAGCTGAGAGAATCCAGAGATATGCTCAGGAAGCTCTTCTCCTGCAGCTGCAAGAAGCTGAAAGGATCCAGAGACAGGCTCAGAAAGATTTTTGCCTGCAACAGCAGGAAAATGAAAGAATCCAGAGACAGGCTCAGGAAGCGATCCACCTGCAGCAGCAGGAAGCTCAGCAGCTTAATAGAGATAATCAACATGCTTTTGAAATGCAGCAGGAGGAAGAGGTGCAGCACAATAGGTTGACTCAGGATCGTCTTCAAGCAGGCCAACAGGAAGAGGAGCGGCACAATCGACTTGCTCAGGATCGTCTGCGAGCAAGAGGCATTATGTAAATACAATGATCCTGCTTCTCAAGAAAATCACGAAGCTGATGAAGAAAGGAGAAGAGCTCAAGAGATTCAACAACGTGAGGAGCATGAGGCAGAGGATCAAGAAGTTATCAACCATATTATTCCTATCCCTGATGGAGCTCGACCATACAGGGAGCCTATAAATATCCACAATCTTAGTCCTCTTAATGTAGAGTGCACCAAGTGCCATGCATTGCACTTTGCATCCAAAATACTCTCAAAATTGTCCCTACGGAATCCAAAATTTGATACATGCTGCTTGGAGGGTAAAGTCATCCTCCTGCCCTTTCCACCATGGGCGCCAGAACTGCAGCGCGCTTATACTGATAGGACATTTGTCTCCAAGATTTGGCAGTACAACAGCGCTCTTGCATTCACGTCGGTCAGTGTTGATGTCAAGGATAGAGCCCTCCAAGGCTCTGGCCCCAATGCTTTTCGTATTCATGGATCTCTGCATCACCTCATGGGTAGTCTCATACCTCCAGAAGGCATTCAGCCTTTATATGCGCAACTTTATATCTACGATTCCAAGGAAGCCACCAACATTTGTGCCACCCGACCTGAAAATGAAGGTCTTGATCGTGGCATTCTCAGGAAGCTCCATGACATGCTGTATCGAATCAATCCCTATGCCGCTCTTTACAAGCAGGCCTATCAGGTCATGCAAGAGAAGCCTCCAGAGCAGCACATGGATGTTCGTGCATGCATTCACTTCCAGCAAGACACAGATGGTCGAAGATATAATGTTCCCACTGCCGATGAAATTGCTGTGATCATTCCTGGAGATGGATCTGAGCAGGTGTCCAAAAAACGGGACATCGTCTTGCGGCTTCAAGGAGGTCGACTCCAGCGTATAAGTCAGCTCAGCCATGCATACTCCCCACTTCACTATGTCCTTCTCTTTCCATATGGAGAGAAGGGCTGGCACCTTGGAATACCTCTAATTCTCCCCCCAAATACCCGCACGGTCGCAAAGAATGTCACTCAGCTGTTGTACTATGCCTATCGACTTCATCCACGCCCTGTTCCCATCTATCACAACAATATCTTTCGCGGTGGAAGATTGTTCCAGCAGTATATCGTCAATGTTTGGGCCTCCATCGAACAGAGCAATTTGAACTGGATCAGGAGCAACCAAGAGCGGCTGAGGGCGGACTGCTATCAAGGCTTAGCAGATAATGTTCGCAACGAGGGCATAGATGATCTGGCTCAGACAGGTCGCTCCATCATTCTTCCCTCCTCTCACACAGGGAGCCCTCAATATATGCACCAGCTGCTTCAAGATTCTTTAGCCATTTGCCGTGCCTGCAAAAAGCCAGATCTCTTCCTGACGATGATCACAGAGAATCTCCTTCCTGGTAATGATTCTGATTTGATGCATTGTTTATGACTTTGTGCTGACAATTTCTTATATAGGTCAGAGCGCTGTGGACCGCCCAGACTTGGTGGCTCGTGTTTTCTACCAGAAGCAGCAAGTGCTGCTGAAGAAGGTTCACAAGGGCTACTATGGGAAGGTTGCTGGATTGGTGTACACCATCAAATATCAAAAGTGGGGCCTGCCTCACATGCACCTTCTCATCTTCCTGGAGCCAGATTATAAGATCTGTACCACTGAGCAAATCGACTCCTTCATCTCCGCTCAGATTTCTGACAGGAACATCCATCCTCAGCTCTATCAGGTTGTGGAAAAATACATGCTGCATGGCCCTTGCAGTCCGCAGCATTGCATAGAGAATTCGCGGTGCAAAAAGCACTTTCCAAAAACATTCTGTCCCCAGACCCTGATGAAGGATGATGGCTATCCCGAGTATGCGAGACCTGACAATGGTCGCACCATCCAAAAGAACGATATCATCTTCACCAACAAGGATGTTGTTCCACATCCCCCCAAACTGCTGGTGGAATTCAACTGCCACATCAATCTTGAGGTCTGCGCCTCTATCAAATCTGTCAAATACATCCACAAATACATCTATAAGGGAAATGACCACGCTATGTTGGAGATGAGAGGAGCGGTGGATGAGGTCAAATCATATCTGGACTCAAGATATATCAGCTCAACCGAGGCTGCATGGCGCATCTTCAAATTTTCAATGCATCTCGAATGGCCCTCTGTCTACTGTTTGCCGGTCCATCTCAAAAATGAACAGATGGTGTTCTATGACCCCGAGGATGATGCTGAGGAAGTCCTTGAGCGCGCAGAAGTGAAAGATACTTGCCTCACTGGATGGTTCAAAGCCAATGCCAATGAGAGCTTGGTGGCAGCTGGAGCCCACGACAGCCTCTATCAGGATTTCCCCTCAAAATTTGTTTGGAGCAAAGGTGCATGGAAGATACGGGAGTGAGGAATGGTGATTGGAAGAATGTATGCTGCTGCGCCCAGCTCCGGAGAGTGCTTCTATCTGAGATTGCTTTTGACTGTAGTGAAAGGTATGATGTCTAAGACAATTTTTATCAATCAAGCTCACCATAATTTCAAGGGGCTACCTCCTTTGAACACCTTCGGACACATGATGGGACTCTCTATGAGACTTTCAAGGAAGTGTGTTGGCACAGGGGTCTGCTTGATGATGATTACGAATGGATCCAGTGCTTGCGGGATGCCTCTCATATGTACACAGGAAATCACATGCGCAATCTCTTTGCCATCATCCTACTGCACTGCAACCCTACCAGCCCTGATGATCTTTGAAACCGCTTCAAGGAAAATCTCTGCGATGATCTGCGTCACCGCCTCACTCATGCACCGTTCAACATGCCTGAACCCACAGAGGAACAGGTACACGACTATGGTCTTCATCTCATTGATGGCATGCTCCACAAAAATGGCAAGTCTTTGGAAGCAATTCCTCAAATGCCAGTAGCTCAAATGGCAGAAAGATGGGGGGCCATGGAGGGCAACCAGTTCATCGCTGAGCAGCGTCAGTATGACCTGCAGGAGCTTCAGCAGATAGTGGATGAAGGAGTCCCTTTGCTTAATGTCGAGCAGAGGGTGGTCTATAATGCTGTGATCGAGGATGCAATGAATCATAATCAGCAAAGACCCAGACACACATACTTTGTCCATAGCACAGGGGGATGCGGCAAGACGTATCTCTGCAAACTCATCGCTTCAAAACTCTGTGCTGAAGGAAAGATTGTCCTCTGTGTGGCCTCCTCTGAAATTGCTTCCCTCCTCCTACCAGGTGGATGTATGGCTCATTCGCGATTCAAAATCCCCATTCCCATTAATGAGGACAGCTCATGTAACATTAAAAAAGGAGATGTCATTCATGAGCTTCTCAAGGAGACCTCCCTCATCATCTGCGATGAAATTCTGATGCTCCATCATCATATTCTGGAGTGCCTTGACTGCACGTTGCGTGATCTTCTAAACAAAGAGGCTGATTTTGGGGGAATAACCGTGCTCTTTGGCAGAGACTTTAGACAGACCCTGCCGGTGGTGACCCATGGATTTAGGGAGCAGATAGTGAGCGCTACCCTTTGCAGATCTCAACTCTGGCAAAAGCTTCGTATCTTCCACCTCAAGAGAAATATGCGGCTTGGTCAAGACCCCACCTCTGATGAATTTGCAAGGTGGCTCCTTGAGATTGGAGCTGGTGAGGGCACAAATGAAGATGGAACTGTGACCCTCCCTATTCATATGCACTGCCCCAACAATGATGTCCAGTCTGTCAAGACTTAAGACACCCAAAGTAGGATGAAGCCGAAGGCCAGGAAGCCAAAAAAGAGCGTGAAGCGCTCTTTTTTTGCTTCCTGTACCGAAGGCACAACGGGTGTGTGCTAGTTACGTATAATGTTAACCCTAAATGGATGGGTTGTTTCACTCAAGATGTCGCTGTTGCCATGAAGGTGCACACTGCTGGAGTTCCTGTCTGGCTTATTCGCAATGCCAGACTCGTTCACTCCAATATGAACATCATCAAAGTAGTTTCATTAACACCACCCAATGACCTTGTCATCAGCATGTACCACCATCCCATCAAAATTTTTGCTCAACCATTCGACATCATCACCAGATGTCCTAGCAATCGCTGGTGCCATGAGGCTGCTTGTCAGCCATATTCTGACTTCGAGAAGCTGCCCGTTCCAAAACCCCAAGTTGAACAACTTGTCATGAAGGAGTTATTGGTGGGGAAGGCCTGCGTAGCCAAAGAGAAGGCAAAGGCAAAGCTTGGAGCCCCTTCAGTGACTTGACCCTATCGTGTAGGCCAGCCTGCCTTGACAATGCTCCCTAAGAGTCAGGCCAACCCACCATGGGCCCACTATTGAATGTCATCCCATGGCCTCGGGTGGGCCGGCACCTGTATTGTAGCTGATGCATAGGGGTGGGACCATGGGTGTGAGCATTAATAGGCGAGTGCATTGAAAGGTGGGCCTGCTGTAGAATGCAGAAGTGGTGGTTTGACAGTGTTGAGTGGGCCCATGTTAGATCAGGATTGGCAGGTGTATGCTGGAAAAATGGATTGGGGACAGGATATTGGGAATACCTGTCAGTGATGATTCATTATCACTGGCATGTATATACTAAAAGGTGGGGTGGACAGGTGGACATTGGGAATGATTACCGGCAACAGTTTATAAGCATCGGCGGCTATACCCTAGCAATATGGTCAGCAGATGGATCTCGGGGGGTGCTTGCCGGTAGTGTGACACTGGAGTTGGTAAATAAATGGGCCCATGGGCATCAAAGTATATCAAAGGGTGGGCCTATAGTGGACTGGAGAACTAAGATCTCCTAAGTGTCGAGTGGACCCATGGTCAAGAAGGATTGGCAACTTGATTCTGGGAAATGTGACCCTGAAAGGACATTGGGAGTGCTTTCGGTAATGATGTGCTGGGGACAGGTGGTGGGTACATATTAGAAATGGGTGCTGGCAATGGTCGAGGAATGGATATGGGGAATACTTGGTGGCAAAGGAGGCATGGCCACATAGTATTGACTTTGTTGTACTGATGAGCACACGGCAGATGGGTATATGGGCCACAAACACCTAACACCAGCACCACATGGGGTACTGGCAATTACAATCACATTACTCCCCCAGCACTGCATTATATGTGGTACATGGCATGATGGAGATTTCACCGTACTTTGAAAGTTTCCGCAAGGTATTGTCGACATGGGAGCACTTTCCCGAGTCCCTCAAGCAGCCTCTCAATGATACCGGACGTGAGAACAATTTGTGGAAGGGGATGAAGGAATGTTGTGTCTTTTACGTTCAGTCTTATTTCAACAATACTGGACGTCCACCTATCATACCTCATCTACTGTATTCGGTGGCGTAGATCTTGGTGTGGTATGCCCTTTACCCATTGCAATTACTGTACTATTAAATGCATATACCCCAATTAGTCAACAGTTTGTATACCATCATATGTTACCAATGCTGTTTTGGTCATAAGTGGACTTTATCACGGACAAAGACCCTATCCTTAGGGATTGAAGTTTATTTTCTGCACACCTGCTAACATCTTGGTTTCACAGAACAGAGTGCACATGAACAGGTATAGAGTTCCTTTCTTCACATTTCCTAGCCCTCATCCGCTCTGAAGGTTGATCGACCTATTCGCCCACTTTATCATCTTCCTTTCCAATGCAAGTTTGGGACTTCGAGTTCCTCCTAGCGTTCAGTAGTCGACTTCATGTCCCTGACCTCAGTGCAGGCTTCGTGCTTGCCTTTGGTTGTCTCGTCATGGTCTTATCCATTACTGGGCCGACTACTCCATCACCTTGCAATGCACAGCACAGACTCATCACTTCTTCAATGGTGAAGAGGAAGTGGCGACCGCAGCAAAGCAGCAATTTTCACCTTCCTACAGCCCCCCCACTACTTGTACTTCCTGGAAGAAAACACCTCACACAACAATCACCCAATATTGCAGGAAGGTCACAGCAGCAACAGCCTTTGGGCGATGCCAGCTCTGCTGAACAGCATGATACTGCATCTGCTGGGGATCTTTTAGAGGAAGGCTCATCTTTCTACAACTCACTCCACTGCATCTCCGATGCCGACTTACTCCCGCCCTGCTGTTCGAACAACTGCCAAAAGAAGATCAATCAGTGGTGGCACTGGACAAACAAAGTCATTCCTTCCTTGATCACTCCGTACCTTGCATACTTGTGCAAGTCAACATCTCTTTGCAATTGAATTGGACCACAGCCAGATGAGCTTGCTGCCTTTCAGTGTAGGTCCTCTTGTCGACGGAGGGCTCTCAAGATTACTTGCATACTTTTCAATTGTATGTCTCTCTTATTACCTGGGCTATTGGTTGCATGATAATATCATAGATATTGAGATACTATGAATTGATTGCTGCACTTGTGCGCCTGCTCCCCTTCAGCTCCTGGCTCGCGGTTATTTTGCCTGTGCTCCCATTGCCCCTTCTCTCACTGTGGACCTTCAGCTGCTGGAACTTGTCAAGACTTTGTTTGTGCATATCACTCCCAACATGACTGCTTGGTGTGAAACACTCAAAGTCTTTCTGGCTGGCCGTGGGTATCAACTTACCACCAAGGTTAGTCAAGCATCTGTATTGAATTTTGGTCATCTTGATCAATATTATTGTAGGATAATCTTTGCCGTCAACTTGGTAATGCCTATCATTGGTACTCTGTTCTCCCACTTTCTGTGTCATCCAATGAGGGATTAACACGTCCAAGTGACTTTCTAAGGTCTCGTTGTCCGATTTGTTTTGGCCCATATGATTGGCAAAAAAGTGGAACACTTAATCTCAGGTAAGCTCCTTCAATATCAGCAACTAAAATAATTTTAAAACATATAGTAGACCTGATGTCCACACTTGTATTGATGCATGCTTCACTCAAAAGTGTTCATCGGATCAATGCAGCAAAGGTCCAGATCCCCCAAACCCACTTAGATCAGTTTTGCTTTCGAATGACAAGGTGGCATCGATGGACACCCATGTGTGAAGTTGTTGTGACAGACCCCCTGCTCGGGGTCGCAAGAGAAAGCGACCTACAGAAGAGGAGGAGAATGGCTATGAGAATGGCATGCAAGTCCTGACCTCTGCACTAGATGGCTGTGGTGCATCTTTTTCTGCCGCTGATGAAAAATGTGAAAAGGCTAGCACCCAGTTTTTTGCAGACACAGGGATGATGGCCATGTTATGTCGCCATGATCATGTATTATGGCTCACTAACATAACGTCAGCGGGAGAAAAGCAGCACTATGCTCTTGCCCTGATCAAGAAGATTTTTGATAATATCCCTCCCAAGATGACTGTCGGCCTCTTGTATGATATTGGCTATCAACTTCATTGAAGTTGTCTCAAGTACCGACTCCTTGATGATGCCATTCTTCGCTGGATAACTTTTGCAATATCAGTCTTTCATGCTTACAGCCACCAATGGGCCTGTCAAATAATATACCATCCTCACAAGTGTGAAGGCTTTGGCCTTTCTGATGGAGAAGGTTGTGAGCGTCTATGGAGTGCACTCAAACATCTTATTGCTCTGCTACGCGTTTCTGGGGTGAGTGTTCCCTGGTTCAAGAATGGTTGCATATGGGTTATAGCCACTCGTTTACAATTGCCATGGTTGTACTATAGATCACCTCTGACTACAATTTATATACTTCCTACTTACTGACCACTTTTTCAGTTTCATCAGCGACTTTTTATCCTTGACACTCAGGTCCAGCACCTGGATGACAAAAACCTTGTTTTGTTTGGCAGCTGGTTGAGCCAGAGGTGGAATAACTGCACTAAGAAGAAGAGTAATGCCATGCAAGCTCTATGTGAGCTTTCAGTGGATGAGACTGCTGTCCATCAGCAGTGGAAATTACAGGTTGAACATCAGACGAGACCCCTGCCTCGTAAGTGTCATGTTAATGATCCAATCATATTATTCATGTATGTGATCTCAACAGGAAGATTGAAGACAAGTAATGATGAGGAAATCTCAAAAATCCTCTCCCTCGAGAAATCTCTTGTTGAGCTCGATGGATCATTGCGATGCATGGAGATGCAGCTTTGTGCAGGAAACATCGACAATCTCGTCAACTACAACCTTCGTCTCATTGAAGAGTGTGCTCACCAATCGAGACTCGTGGACACTTTGAGCTGCTGGAAGACAAGGCTTGGCATCAGTCAGTGCACCCATCTGGACCAATTACATTGCAATGTATATATACAAGTCTGTTTAGATGCTCAAGCTCTTAAGACCTGTATCCGCGAACAACTTTGACAGTGCAAGTTCAAAATTGAGCAGCTTGAACGCTCATACAGACAAACAGTGAATGGTGCCATACACTGAAAGGCAGGTACTGTCGCACTGATAAAAGAGCATTCATTCACCAACTGACTCGGATCGAGCATCGGGAGGCTCACTTGCGTCGCATGAGGCACAGCAATCCCAGTGAGGCCCTTCTGTAGAGGTAAATGAAGTGGCAAATGATCCCCAGTTACGCCATCATATCAGTCAAAGTGAGAAGATGTACGATGACCTTGGTCAGTACCTCTGCGATCACATGGGAGATCCTGCTATGAAGTTAAATGACTTCTATGCTTTGATGACTGTTATGCTGAGATATTCCATAGGATTTTCTTCCCTGATTGAAAGAACATATTCTCGGTTGCCTCAAGCCAGAAATTGCTGAATCGCCCACAGAAACATTAGCTCATTCTGACCAACACAATTTAATCCTCTTCAAGTGTAATTGACTTTATCACCACAATCTTGCGAGGTTCAATTACACCACCTACGACGTTCACTGGGCTCAAGATGTCGTAAACCCATGGATTGCACATTGCAATATTATGCTGCTGAAGAACCACAATGTTGATGAACACGGCGGCAAGTACTGCTATGCCAAAGTGATCAGCATACATCATGTCAATGTCATTTGCCTTACGAACGTATACAAATCTTGCCGAATCAAATTTCTCTTTGTTCAGTGGTATGAACCTGTACAAGATCATGCATGGGACACCTATACTTTGGGCCATGTTCACTTCCGGCCTCTAGCAAACCAGAATGCATTTGGTTTCGTAAACCCAGGAGCCGTTCTTAGGGCTTGTCATATTATCCCAGCGTTTCCTCAACCCTAGCATAATCCAGGTGAACGTAGCATCTCCCCACTGGCAGGAGACAAGCATGATTGGCCCAAGTATTATGTCAACAAGTGAACGAACTCAGATGGCCTGATGATAATCATTGCTAATATGCTAGAAACACACTAGCTTTGTTGACCATGGCACTCTCATGTGTTTCCATTATGGACTTGGGGCCAGTCACGTATACTCTCACGAGGAAATGGCTTGCCCTTTAACACAGATAACAGTGCAGACAGAAAATGAACCTTTGGAAGGTGGGGAAATGCTCAAAAACAGTATGCACTGGCAAAGTCCTGCTAACGATGATGATGATGAACAGGACGATGATGGAGATCATGTTGGCACAGAGGAACTTGATTTTTTTGATCAATGATTCGATGCCAGCACAGAGTTGCTCACCCAAGCATTAGATGAGATGTTTACGACTAGCCATACACTTGATTATGAGAATTAACAATACTACCGCATTCTTCGCTTTGGTCATCTCTCGTATTTTTGACTTCTTCCTAGCATACATTCGCCGCATTGTCAATCCCTCTAACTCGCCCTGGCACCTCTTTGTAATCCCTCCTATCCTCCCTGGCACCTCTTTGCAATCCCTCCTACTCGCCCTGGCTCTTTTTTAACACACTGCTAATCCCACTGCCCTGGCACGTCTTTGCTGCATTGCCAATCCCTCGACTCACTTTGATACTTACTACATTACCAATCTTGGTGTGCCCTTGCTGATCCCTGGTGCAGCTTTAATAATACCTAGCAATTGAAAGTAGGAGGAAGTGGGCCCAAATGCTTATTAGGGCCTTACTGATACTGTTTCTTCCATTTTCTGCTTCCTTCACACTAGCAAGATGCAACTCCCAGCAGCGCCAGTAATCAGTCCAATTTACATGTATGTGCAGACCATCAACCAAGTTTTGAGACTTCTTCCCATTAGCGTAAGTATTATCTGCATTGCAAATCATCTGCATCATTGCTAATGATCTCTTACTGCAGAACGAGGAGGTTCGTCATCACCGATTAGTGGTCGCTCTAATTGACTCTTGTCTTCCAGCCTTTCCATGGCCTGTCCAGCTGATTCTTGTTCATGGGATACATTGCTGCGTGCTATATTACAAGTTCAATGTGTATGTGTACGTACTACGAAAGAACATGACCATATATGGGAGCGGCATGGCGGGAGGCGGGAGCTCATTGCTGACTCATACTTAGGTCTGAATTTTTTAGGTGAGACAAACAGTGTTCAACTTTCACGCCACAACAAGCTTTGCCAGTCGCTCGTGGGGAGTTGTCCTCCAAAATTTCAGCTATAGTATGATGACTAATGTATGGTTCTATTTGTATTGGTTCTAGGTTCAGAGGACTTCTCCCCATGGGTGGCTGGGTAGGAGTCTGTAATGTATGGTTCTATTTGTATTAGGGGAGCTCACAGTAGGTCGCTTCTGCTGACACGTGAGGGACAAGGGTTAGTGGTGTGTTATGTAAGCAGTTAACTCCCAAACCCATACCACACATGCCTTGCAGCTCGCTACATCAGCAATACTTAGAATCCTATATCTTTTTCATGATCATTCAAGCACTCTTTCGACCTGCACAGACACTCAAAGACCTTTCACAACAGCTTACTACAGATATAAATTGCATATTGGCCATACAACAAGCTTGCTACCTGAATTCTCGCCCTCCGGTCCTTAAATCCGGCAGTCTACACCTCGCGTGGGAATGGGCAGCACTCTGGTAGGACAATAGCACCAATCCATTTATAAACGCTGGCCTTCGTCTCGCCAGATAGTGTTCTGATGGCTCCGTGAATTAGTACTAGTGACTCAGATATCTGCGCTCACCTCATGTTGATCTTTTTTACCAAACAAGACCTTGTAATTTGCCTTTGCACTGATTTCCACGATAAGTTTCCATACACGCGAGTGCTCGTTCTCGTTCCACTGGATGTCGGGCAGATTCTGAATCTTCTTTGATTTAGCCATGCGAGGGTATAAAGTAGAGTACAATGCAACTTAGCGCACTCCGAGCGGATGGCCAGAAATGGTATATTCAATTTAGTTTCTATTTATTTTGCTGTATATGTGAAAATATCGATTTATTATGGACGCAGAAGCAGAAGCAGAAGCAACCTACTGTGAGCCTACCTATTGGTTCTAGGTTCAGAGGACTTCTCCCCACGGGTGGCTGGGTAAGAGTCTGCACATCCCCATGCATCGATTCGGAACTCTCTTAACACCGGTTGTGGATCTGGGGTCAACGTGTACTACAATTATGAGGATGACCTCAAAATGTTAGCATTAAATCATGATGCGGATATGATGTGGTCATTTACATTTCCTACTAATTCATAACTTTACCCCCGACAACAACAGATCCCTCTAAACGACATAATACCTCAATGTCTCTTACAATGCTACCGAGCCCTGCCAAACCTGTAACGGATTCTATGTCACTTGACAATAACTTTCACGGCGGTTGCGAATAACCTGTCAAAAGAATCCAGCTGTTTGCAAAGCATGAAGAACTTGGATCGAAAACAGCCCTGCGTGTCTAGTTTCCAGGTTCGACCTCTACGGGTACAGGGCGGGAGGGTGCAAAGAGAAGTAATGATTAGGTCCAGCCATAGACCACACAAAGTGCGTTGACTGTGATTCCCATCAATGTGAAAGTCTGATAGAATCATGGATTTGTCACTGGTTTTATGCTCTGCTACTTGGGCTGGACAATCTACCATTTTAACCCTTGGAATTGAAATACACTGTCTCTCCATAAGTGCGTCTACTTTGCTTCTCGATATCTGTTGGCCAGACACACCTATGATCCCAGAAACGACCCCTCGATGCCGAAGAAGAGTATTCAATATACAAACAACGCACCATTCAAGGAGGATATAGGTGTTGGTACGTATAATTGCTATCTTGACATTTCTCGTGCTGCATATTGTCCAGGTTTCATCGGCAAGGAAGGAGACCTACCAAAGACGACTCTATTTTGGCGTGGCGTAAGGCATGGGCAGAAGTTGAATGTAGAATTTACTCCGCATCTACAAGGTTCTATTAATCCAGACCCCTACCTGGAGGATGACTCGATCAAGTCCGCAATTCAGAATCACTGCCTTTTCGACCAAGACCTCGCTGCTCTCGACAGGCGTACCACGTGGCTCATCACATATGATAAGTCCACCGGAGTCTTTAGCATCAATGAGGAGATCAAGAGCGATGTTCAAGAGCTATGATGACCTGTTGAACATTTTCTTTTACGAACCTCTTTCAAATGTTGACTGCTGTTGATTTCTGGCAGGTACACTATTGTGCTGTTTATGGATGTGAAAGCTGGAGTTCCTGTCAAGGAGGCGGTTTGTTTGAATGCAATATGGAGGTGAGTGCGTGGACATCTGTATTGTTTGGAAATGCCAAAGTCAACAAGAAAAATCTTGTGCGCATCCTTGCCAGTTCTGATAAGAATGTTGTCGGGCTTCAAGTCGCAATGAATGAAGTGTTTGGAGTGAATGTACTGGAGGTGGCAGACCTAGTGAAAATGTTAGAATCAGTACATGTGATTTAGGAAATACTTACGAGCTGAGGAGCTATGAACACTATAGTGTTGTGGCTGAATGAGTGTTGATATGCCTTGAATAAACTCTCAAGCGACTGTCCAAGACAATCAAGGACTAGGGCATCATAACTGTCCTCCCGTCCAAACCAGTGGACATGGGGGATGCCAACAGTATCACCAAGTTGCCTGAGCACATTATACTCATGCTCCAAGCTGGTTGTGGTGGTGCCAGTAATACATTGAAGCTTGACAACCACATCACCGTCGCCAATGATATCACTTGCATGATACACTTCGCCTGTCACAAAGTCCAGTCCTCGCAGTGAGATGTAATAATAAAAACAATTCACTTACCATAAGCACCTGACCCTACTTTGTCTTTCAGCCGATACCTCCCATTGACACGCACAGGAATCATCAAGTCCTAAGTATGATGTTGATGTACACAGATAGAATTTGAACAGATATGATATGCCAACGATACACACATTCAACACGTATGTGCGCCATAGCGGCAACTTCCGGAAGTGAACAGATGAGTCACAAGTATCACCGAGGTCATGTGCCGTGGCATTTTACCGGCCTCTGCAGTCAAAAAGAAGTTCAACATAAGTAGTATTAGTGCATACTAGTAGTACACAGATAACTAAGGCGTTTCTGAATGCTATGTTACAGATGAAAATTGTAGCCTCTAACGAGTCCAAGATGAAGGCTGTGGAAAAATATAAATGTGGTCCGGCATATCCTCAGTCTCCTCTGACGTGATTTTAGCTAGTATGTCATCCATGGGATCCTGAGATACATTCGGTTGCACTCCACTCGGCTTGTCGGGATCATCATCAGGAAGGTCATGCTGCGACATTGTGAACTGTTGAGAGAAATTGAGCCATTCTTTTTTCAGGCCATATTTCAACATCTGTAGTGCCTCTATCAATGTCTCACTGATTCGGTTCCATTTTTTCGTGTCAGTTTCTGCACTCGATGAGAAAACTCGTTCACATGGGACTGCAGAGGCCTGAACAGGCAAATAGTCCATGGCAATTGCAAATAATGTTGGGTACGTCTTCCGCTTCATCTATCAAAAGCAGAGAACGTTAGTACTGCAGTTGAAAGAATAAATGGTGCGATGTACCTCCCAGAATTTGAGTACGTCAACACCTTCATCCCAAAGGTCACCATTAACGTAAGATTGATACTCTTGCTCGATAGTCTGTGGGCCTTGAGACTGCTGTGGACGCTTCATATGCATATCTCCAAGGCCATAAAGTCGAGCGAGCGAGTTGATTGTGTCAACCTTGGAGGTGCGAGTGGTATTTTACTGCTTGGCAGCCTCGGTGAAATTTGCTTTTGGTATTCCACCATCTAAACAATCAGATCGGCATAAACGGTCAGACGGTCAGTTAGCACTTACGAGGTTGTGTATCATTTGTTCAGCACATGTTATCCAACCATCCTCCCAGTAGTCCTTTATCCAAGTGAGTCTGACTGATGGATCAATCACTGTAATGCAGTGGGCATGTCAATTAGTAGTCATTTATCACCAAGTATAGTAGACTTACACATCGCTATAACATATGTGTCTGTCAGGTCCATGCAGATGTAGTATGACTTAGCCCATTCCAAGCCAACATCGATAGAGGGACGGAGTCGGGGAAATTTGGTAGCGAGTGATTCCCATGCAGTCATGAACAACTCGAAGCACGGAACTGCACTACCCAACTGGGGCATGCTCTCAGATGACATCTGTTGCTGCACTCTATGAGGTACCTGTAATTGAGTAGCGAACAGGATTAAAATTCAAGATAATTAAGGGTGGAGGTTGTATACATACATCTAGAATCTTTTCAAGGTCCTCGAGAACTTGCCACTCTGAGTCGGTCATCTTATGACCAGAAATGTCCTGCTGATTAGGTGTGCTAAGGAAGAAGTCTATGGCCTGACACAAGAATGTATAGCATGAGTGAAAATGACATGTATTAGACTTACTGGACGCATTGCTCGTAAGCGATTGATCATGAAATATGTTGAGTCCCATCTCATGCAGACATCACGAAGGAGTTCAACCTCAGGAACGGTAACCAGCTCATTCAAAGGAGATTTGAACCATTGCTTGGCATTTCCGGTTTTGACAACTTCCATGAATTTATCGCGACGCAGTCCAGATACTCGGATCGCTTTGATAGCTGACCGGCCCAGCGCAACTGGGTTATTTGTGATAGCTGCAATGTAGGTTTTTTTGTCCATCACAATGCCATCAATAGTTGCATCCCACGCCTGTGAGACTTCTTGTGCAGCAACAATGGAGTTAGTGAAATGATCAGCGACATGCTGTACACATATATTCATAATATGGGGGAAACACATCACCCGCTTGTCAAGTGGGTCAAAAGTGATGTTGCATTGTTCCAGCAGTTTGGCAAGTTCTTCCATACATGTCGCATTGTTGCCCGCATTGTCCATGGTGAAATGTCCAACCTGAATTAATGTAAGTAAAGGTCGGTATCTGACAGGTCACCACACCTTCACAGTGATATCTGCACGATCAAGTAAATACAAGATTGTCCTTGCTAGGTACTTTCCGTTGTGACTTCCTTTGATCTGGTGAAATGTGATCAGTGCTGCCTTCAGCTCAAGCGTGGCCAACTTCTGGTTCTCTATGATCCAATGAGCCGTCATTGCTAAATATGTGCCGAGAGTCTTCGATGACCAGACATCAGCAGTGAATGAGATCGTCCCAACGGCATTCTAAGTATGATGAGAATCTGTAAATTATGGAGATAAAAAATACGTACAGCCATATCGTCTTTCAGAGTCACAAAATACTCTTGCCAGGCCTTGATAATTTCTGCGCGGATCTTAGTACGGTGAGGAATATCCTTCTCACAAAGTTCTTGGCGGAGAAGTAAAAGGAGGCGTCTGAATTCAAGACACTCAATAACGTTGATCGACTGTTGACTGTTGTCAGTAAGAAATAATGAAATTGTGCAAGGGCATGCTTGATCGTCAGCAACAATGAAAGATACAAGGTGTTGGATGAAGGTGGGATGCGTGAACTGTGGAATCGATCCTGTATCACATGGGCCAGCTAAGGTGGTACTACTGGCTCCAGCTGCATGCTTAGGAAGATTAGATAGTTCGGTGCCTCCCTCGACAACTTTACACATTTTGGCTAGTGTGTATTCCATTTCGAAGGCTAGTTTGATGCTGATGACAAATATGGACCACCCACGTTCTTCTGCCAGAATGAGATAGAGGAGTAAATGAAACCTCTCGACATGTCCACGCAATGGCGTATTCCCAGTATTGCTCGAGTATTCCCATTTTCTTTTTCCATGGCTCCGGAGAGGATCTGGTGGTGCTGCAAAATCCAAAGGTACACTGGCAGGTGCTGGCCCATTCTTTGTCTTTTTGTTGGCTTTATGTACTGGAGGTGCTGGGTCAGTGTCGTCACTGGATCCAGATACATCAAGGTTAAAGGATTCCAAGTCGTCAGCCTGGTTGATGTCAATGTTGAGTGTGGGTGCATCCTGAGATGCAGATGGCTTAGGTACAACACTGCCTGCCGGGCGCTGATCCCAACGAGGACGATGCATGCAATGAAGTGAAGGTGCTGAAGAGCACTATAAGCTTTAAGTCCAGAACTTCAGCTTATATACAAGTGTAGTAGTATTGAAGCGAATATAGTCAACAACACAACATACTTCATATTATGTGAGAAAGTATGTGAAAGCTTGAATACATGAGCTAGGGAAAGTGGATATGAAATGGTAGATGGATGAGGCATGGGTCAATGGACATCACCCAAGAGGACTTGGATTGCACAGCTCTGCAAGGCTATGAGTTGTATATTAATCATTTTTTTACAAAAGGAGAACTTACACTCAAACATGTGCCTTCTTTGTTGAGCTATCATCAGCCCCTTCTGCCTTGCGCTTCAGGAGACTATGGTGCAAGAGCTTGTAGCGGTTATATGCAGTTGCCCACACTGCGGTTACTAATGATGCCTTGATCTCCTTCCATCTGATCACCTTTGCAGGCGGAGTCCATTGGCGTACATCATAGTGGTCGCCTTCTGGATCGAGTAAGACTAAGTGATGGAGGATTATGTCTTGTATCCTTGCTATGCCTTGACTGATCATTGCGTCCATCTCTTGGGTGTTCTCGATGGGGAAAAGACTCTGCAAGTGTGTGCTCAGGCAAGGTGAAAGTGTGAAAAAGTCATTGCTTACCCCTTTAGAATACACCGAAGAGTCATCGTTGTCGAGATCAATTGGGCTGTCTTCAGGGCGAATCCATGTATGAAACTCAATCTTCAAGAGTTCAACCCAGCTGTGCCCCTCAGATATGACAGGGCCAAACTGGTTGGATCGTGTCCTCAGGGGCGTCCACTCTTCAAAAGACATCACTGGCTTTGATCGCAAACACTGTGCAATCTCACTGTCGGGATCTGGATTAGCGTATTGGTGTGCTTCAATCATATTGATTAGTGAAGCCAATGGGATCCCCCCATCGTCATCAATGATGCGATGTATCTTGTTTCGACCCCCGCTTTCGGTCTGGGACAAACAATTCTCTAAAATCCAGAGAGAGATAGGCTTGTTCAGTACCCCAATATCAATGAATGGTGTGCAGATGATGTGAATATCAGGGTCTGCATGGGTACTGTCACCCAAAAAGCAGCTATTTGCATGCACGTGGACTTGTACAAGTGTGTTGTCGTGGCCAATTGATGTAATGGCTGTTTGAAAAGCAAAGTTGATTTGTGTGATGGGTTGCTCATGAGCCTGGCTTGGCAAAGTCACTATGAATGTCTCCGAGTCTGGGTGATAAACGAATCTAGGAAATTTCCAGTGTTAGGTATAGCAAGATATCACATGAAGTCACCCACTTTCCCCGAGTCTCATCATCTTCGTCAATGAACTGCATGATATATGCATGTTCATCATCTGTGATTCCAGTGAATAGGGTTTCCTCCTCCAGCATGATGTGTCAGTAATCACAAGTCTGAACACGATTTCACTAAATTGACTCACCTGATCATCACCTTAGATGGTTTCTATAAGCTTCTTGCATTTAGCTACATCCGTAAAAGTCAGCCAAGAAAATAGAATAATGATTCGGTCCCCTACCCAATTGTTCCTGGTCATCATAGATGGTCTGATTTGCTAGGGGTGACTTGGGGGCAGATATAATGGTTGCAGGACTGGGTGAATGACCATTGTCAGGTGCAGGTGGTGCAGAAATGATCTTGTTTTTGATTGCTTCTGGTGGTACAACACTCCGTGCTATTGTTGATGGAGTTCTTGTTCCGCTAGAGTTGGGGGGAGAGACTGAGCTTGATAGTGAGGGACTATGAACATGGCTTGATGATGTAAATGGCAATGGGCAATGGCGATTCCTACTGTCTCCGCCATAGAGCGATATCATGATATGTACAAAGTTTCGATGTAACCAGCTCGCAAGCCAGAGCTGCAGCTCAAGCTGCCACATGTGGAGCCAGCTTTTTCCCAGGCTTGGCTTTGTTAGGCTCGGCTGTAGCTGGTTACAGTCTTCGGCCAGGAACTGGCAAAAGCCGGAGCTACGGCAACACTAGTTCCAACTCTCCGAGCTCATCTTGTGATACAACTAGGTCTCATATTCTACTTATTTAGCTAGTTTATATTCTTGATCTCATACACAAGCTTCTAAAATGCTGAGAATTATCCTGCTGGTGTTGTAATATAAAATTTGTCAGCATATGTTATATAAAATGTCTGGTTAGTAAAATCAGAACTGTGGGCGGCTCAGACTTCAATCAAATTTTCTGTGTATCACGTGATGTTTGGACTTGATGAAAAATGGCAACCGCGGTGGGATTTGGTAAAAATACAGAAGGATAATAAGGTACAAAAGGCATGGAAAAGGATAAGTAAGCACAAGGAAGCAGAAGTAAGGTACTAAACCTATGTGACAGGTACAAAAGGGTACTGAATGCATCCAAGGTCCCCTGTCCTGTTTTTGTGGGTATTGAGAGTCATACATTAGTGATATATCACTACCTGTGTCCTGTAGGGGTAACCAGAGTGATAAATTAGTGATATATCACTACCTGGCACCTGGTCCTGTTTTGGGGGGTAACAAGAGTGATACATGAGTGATATATTACCAGAGCTAGGGATCCACATGGATCCTCATCTTCATGCATTACTTGATTGTAAGTGGTAATAACAGAGTAACAAGAGTGATACATCAGTAATACATGAGTGATATATTACCAGAGCTAGGGATCCACATGGATCCT